CCTATTTTGCTTTTAAATTTCAATTGAACACATATTTTTGCCATTTCCGTTCAGATTGTATCTGTCATGACATATGCAATTAATATTTAGATTGATTTTGAATAGTTAAAAAAGAACCCATCAAGCGTAACGGAACGTGCATAAAAACTCCAAAAATGCCAACCCTTTGCGCTCCAACTCGTGTTTTACCCATAACTTTCCGGCTCCAATGCCGGAATGCAGCCGTGTTATGCAGCCAAGCAGAGCCAGAATAAAAATCTCTATAATTTTGCATTCTGTCATGTTGCCTGCGTGTGTTTCTCGATGTGTGTGCTTTTGTAGTTGAGCATGTATTTTTTGCTATCAGCAGCCATACCCGTTGTATATAATGCGACAGTGCCAAGACGTTGTTGCGTTGCTATGCAATAATCCTTGGATGCGTTGCTTTTCATGTTGTTTGGGGCATAAGAAGTAAGCGAATGATAATCGATACTCGAGACTGGTTACTCGATACCAAATGCTGATGCCGCCAGCATCAGTTACGCAATATTTTCCACAACAATAATAATAATATAAAACCCACAAAGTAACACGGCGCTTCAAGGCAAACGATGCAAAGTATTTTAAGAAGCAAAAGATAAGCTTAAAAGTATGCCATGAATTGTATGCTAAAATATTGCAAAAGACTCGGAACTTGAATGTATTAAGTCAATCTCATCACTACTGGCTATATGCATGCCTGAATAATTATTAAAATAAATGGGATCCATTCTGAAATGTAAATAAGTTATCTCTTCCAAGAATGAAAACTTTATTAGTCTTTGGAATTTGTGCTATTTTTCAAAAGGCATATTTTAACTTATTGTTTTGTTGAGATAGCATAGCATAAAATAACATAACTCAACTTCACTCACATGCAAAAAGTTTTTCAGATTTGATTGCTTTTTCATTGTCAAATTTCGGGGCCAGTAGCTCAAGGAAGATACAGCTGCGGTCAAAAAAAGTTGTCAACACATAACTTTTGGAAAATGTTAAAAAAATATATATTTAAAACAAAGTTCAAAAATTATGAAAATTTAATTTAAAAACAAGCAATCAATACTGAAGATATGTAAACATTAAAAGTTGACGTAGCTATGCAATTTATTAACAAAAAAATTAAAATCCTTACATTTACTATTTTTTATATATATTGTATATTTATTTTTATTAAATTATTATTTAAATTTATCATATAATGGGTGGTGAAATTTGTTTCTACGTTTAGTATTTGGAAAATAATTGTATTTCCCAGATGAGAAACCAAACGAATTGAATTTTTCTTCATATTGAAGATTTTGAAGTAGTATTGATTTTATCACCATAAAATGAGTCATACTTTTATTAAATGATTTGAGAAGCAACACTTCTATTATTTTGACCGCAACTGTAGCTCGCCTGCTCGTCAGTGCTCTGTCAGTAGCATTGGCTTAAGTGACCGAAATAATTGACTGATGAGCAGATTCAACTGCATTCTGCAGAAGCAATGCCAAACAGACAATATTTTCAGCAATTCTAAATAACTCAACAGTCCATTGCAGTTCGTAACTTTTTATATAGTATCTGGTTTCAGGCATTGGCCTATATGATAAGCGCTGTGATAAGAGACAGTTTTCGGTATAATTTGTAGCAGTCAAAACTAAATTATATTTCTTTTACAAACACGTCTGCTTACTTTTTTTATTCACAACGATTGATCGACTTATGTCATGTACAGATGTTATTTTAAAGTCTTATTACTAAGCTCGTGGCTTATTAGCCTATTACCGACATGACAAGTGGACTGCTACAAATTTAAACACATATAATCTTGCCTTTTTTCTTGTAATATCAAAAATTGACAGGCTTTGCAGGTAATATTTGCATTCTTCCCCCCTATCTTTCAGTATTAGTTATATTCCTTAAGGCATTATTATTCGAATACCTACACTTACTTGCTTCGCATTATATGTCTGTGTCATGGTAATAGTCATAAGCGTAAAATCCTCTACGCCAACTTTCATACGAAAAAGGCCAATCAAATTACAATAAATACAGTTCAGATTTTATTCAATTTACTAGCACCTGAGACATTTCCAATGCTTTCGGCTTCAGGCAGACGCGATGGTTTGTATATTTATGTGCAAAGAAGTTTTCTTGACAACCGACTGTTCCACAATATGTTTAAAAGTTAAAAAATTAATAACTCTTTACATTGTAGCTGGTTAGGTCTTATCGCGCTGTCGACATAATAAGCGAGTTTCAGATTAGCAGAAATGGTGGAAGTTTTATGAATCATATTTAAACTCTGCTACCGAAATTATGTTCGTCAGGTATCTTTTTTGGTGTATACTCGTCTGTGCTGCACCAGACAAAGTATTAAAATCAAACTTTAAATGTAGACTACTAGAAACCCAATTCAAAGATTAGTAAGCAAATATCTTAACCAAGCCCACCATGCCCTTAACTATCGGGAAAGCTTAGAAATGAATTATATTCTTTTTTCATATGAGTCTACCCATTTTACTTTAACTTATAAAGCCAAAACACTCTGATTATTATCCATTAAAACAGTATATTTTATTTTTTCAATTACCAACAACTTGTGCCATTTCGTAGGCGTTAGATTTGAGGCAAACTCGTGTTTCCAGATTGTGTCCAGATTGTGTCAGTTTCTCGCAGATGTGCCACACCTCATAGTTGCAGCTCTTGACCTTCAAGCGGAAATCTGGTGTCACCGAACCGGAGTTGTATGATAGAGTTAGGCAGTTTCCATTCGTCTTCTGGGGCTCACCAGTTGCCCAGGGCAGATATTGTGCCACCTGTCCAGTGCTCTGCCAGTAGTAAACACCCTGATTACCCAGACTGTTGCCCGAGGTCCAGACTTCCACATTTCTGTTGATCCACTTACTAATGTGAAGAAGCTGTTCCTCGTTCTGCAGACTAAGCAGTCCAGCGCCCAGCGAATGACAGTCACGATCCGCATCATACCAGTTTAACGTTTTGCTCAGAATCTTCAGACACTTGTCGCCCACCAAATTGAAGCCCGGGTCACATTGGTCAGCGGCAGGAATCTCACAGCTGACGAATTGCAGCCGGGTAAGAGCAAGGCTGAGGACAACGAAGCTGACTAATTGATGCCCCAACATTTTCATTCCGAGAACTAATGAATAAAAAAATGTGCCATGGTGGTTTTGTTTTTATATATGTCTTCAGTGTTTTTTTTGGTGCGGTCACTTCGTTTATTATTGACAACAGATTAGATTCGACACCATAAATAAGATAATAATATACAATTAATTCCAGTAATTATTTGATAACGTAATTAGTTATAGACTTCAATAAATTTGAGCATTTACTTAGACACTTAGTGAAGGTTTCGAAATAATTTTCTAAGAATTCTGTAGAAGTGATTATAAAAGTAATCAAATAAAAATGGGGCGATTGTTTCTACCGAATGCTTGATGCTTTATCAATACAACAAAACTCTAACAAAATAACGTGCATATATTTAAAAACGGGGCGTGTAGTAATTTTTTTCTGATTTACAGAAACGAGATTTTCAATAAAAATTAAAAGGTGCAATTCATTGTAAAAAAAAAGTTTCAATATACGCAATGACTTTCGCTAATTAAGTACTTTAATGTTAATTGAAATTTTTACTCAGCTATCGAATAAATAACAATTTAAAATTAAATCACAGACAGCAAGTTGTCTTAGTAGAGAGCCTAAGTCTTGCCACCTTGGGCGCCAAGGTATTGTTCATGCCGATGACTGATTGACAAACATCCAAATGATAAATGATTGTGGCAATATGGCGAAAAAGAAATGCGTGGCAAACTGAGCCAACTGTGCTGCCCAATTATTTATTGGCCTTTGGACGCAGCGGCGTTACTTGCATTATAAATGAGTTGAGGAGAATTGAAGGTAGTTAAAGTTGGTGGGAGTTGAAGGAAGTTGCCTGCTGGGCCGACAAGCAATTTTATTTATTTGTTTTCAATCTGTTTGCTTGTTTGCCTGTTGGTTTGCTAATGTTTACTCGAGCAAACACACTTCGTTCATGCTTACCCCCTCCTCCTCCGCCGACCCCGTCAAAAGCTCTCAGCCGTTGTCTGTCAATGTGGCACCACCGCCAACAACAACAATACTAACTTCAGCCAGCCGCAGTTGTCAATCGACAAATTGTGTCAATATTTGCTGGCAGTGACGTTGAGCCAAGTAGAGATTTAATTTCCTCTTATCGAATGCTGCTTGGTTATCCAGTAAAATACACAGACACACACAGACTGAGAGAGAGTGAGTGAGTCGAGGGAGAAGTGTAAAAATACGTGCTATGTATTCCCCGGAACTGCACTTAACTGTAAAAATCCAACTTGGCATCTGGTTATGTGCTATTTACAGCAACACATCTGGCTTTGGGCAATTACTGATCTTCATTCGAGTAAATTATACCAATTGCTTACGTAAACTGTCATTTAGTGTGCAATTTGCCACTACTATACTTCTCCTTTAAGTAGCATTTAACAAAAATTATATATTTCGTTGAACATTCTTACATTTAAATTCTGGAATCAAGGAATATGTAGTACGAATCGTACAAAAAACTTACTGATTGTGTTTCTGCTTTGTAACTGATATTTGCTGAAAAACTGCTCTTCTTCGATTGCATTCATATATTTCTCCATAGCCTTAATAACAGCATTATATTATGCATACGCCAGGTATTGCGCCATGAAAATAGCATTTTTTTTTTCCAATTTTTTTGGTAATCAGAGCTGTAAATAATATATAGGGCATACACAAATTTATGCAGGACAAAAGGCTGATTGGGTCTGAATCCGCAGCGATTAAGTGAGGCACTCGATACTCGCCATTTTGTCATTTGTATGCAGCCCGCATTTCGTTTTGCGTGTAATCCACAGCGCAAACAGGCTTGCATATATAATAAGTCTACGTTATACATTTATATTTGGTATATATTTGGTACAATTGCCTATTTGCAGCCAAGCTGGATGGAGTTAAGACGTACATGCGCATGCGGCGTGTGCCAAATCATCTGCAGGTGAAGGTCATCAAATGGTTCGATTACCTGTGGCTCACGCAAAAGTGCTCGGACGAGGAGCGCGCCGTATCCTGTCTTCCTGATAAATTAAAGGTAAATAATCCACACACATATACACAAAACAGATGCGCCCCAAAACCATCCACCCTCCCACACAAGAAAAACCCAACCAAACATGAATTGTCCATTTCTGAAAGAATTTCTGTGCTTAATGCCATCTGTCCAGATGTGCCTAATTTTTTTTCCGTCTTTCCTCTGTTTCTTGTAGGCTGAAATAGCAATTAACGTCCATTTAGATACACTTAAGCGGGTTGAGATTTTTCAAAATACTGAAGCTGGTTTCCTTTGCGAATTGGTGCTGCGACTCAGGCCCGTGCTCTTCTCCCCGGGCGACTACATATGTCGCAAAGGTGAGTGACCATCCTTAATGCTCTGCATGTATATATGTGCAAGTGTACTCAGTCAGAAAACTCACCCCAACTTTCTGTCTCTCTGTCTGTGTTTTGTCCTGTTCTCTCTTGTTTTCTTGCAGGTGAGGTAGGCAAGGAAATGTATATTGTAAATCGTGGACGATTGCAGGTTGTTGCTGACAATGGCAAAACGGTGATGGCCTCGTTAAAGGCAGGTTCCTATTTCGGCGAGATTAGTATACTGAATATGGGCACCGCAGGTAAAGAACTTGGTAAATATCCCGTTTTAGTGCGACAGGCGGAACAATAACAATAACAACAAATTAATGTAACTACAACAACAACAAAAACAACAACTAGTCAATAGCTAAACTACCCCATAACACACAATATTAAAGTATTCTAACTACCATTAAAAATATATGTTTTCTTAATGTATCTTGTATTTCTTGCCTATATAAAGTATGCCCGTGTATCGAAAAGTCTAAAAATGTATTGCACACACCATTTCACATTAATTTAGTAAGCGCTTCTAAAGCGTTTGACTTCGCAGCACACAGCTTCGTACAAATACAAAGTTATTTATCTATTTACCACCTGTAAATGTGGTTTCGCACACATTAATTGACAAATGCGCCTTTGACTGATACAAATATAGTAAATACATATATTCATTTATATTTATTTTAATTTCTTGCACCATCACTTCTTATTAATTTATATTTTTGAATTCAAACACGACATTTATAATAAATTAAATAAACATATTCCATATCAATGCTTTATTGTCTTGTCTATCTGTTTGTATCACATGCGAACATTTTTGTCCAGCAAAACTTTTAATGGACGTAAAATTATATATTGAGACAAAATTACATATAATTGAAATATTGTAGGAGTTAGTTCTCAGTTCATTAACAAGATGTTGTTTTCAATCAGGTGTCTGCAAGAATATTATTATTATTCGGAAAGCTGAAAATAAACTTAGTTTCCGTATTGTGTTTAATGAAACCTTTTTACTATTTTAATATTTATATGCCTGACTTTTTAAGTCATTATCAGTGTAAAAACATCATTCTTTTGTTTTCATTCTGCGATATATTTCGAGCTACAGCGTCAGTCGAGTCAACTGTGCGGCTTCCAAATATATCGGACAATATAATAATTATGAAAATAAAATATATAAATGATTCATAAACACATATTTAAAAAAAAAATTATTATATTCTTTTGGCTCAACAGCTACAAAAGACTCATTAATTCTCTCTCTTTCCCATATTTTACATTTTTGAGCCGAAAATTGGTTTTCAGACGCGCCCGAAAAGTATGCAACGTACTTTTATTATACACAACACACAGACCATCTATCTCTCGCTCTCTCCCTCGCTGTCTCTATTGCCATCCCTTGTTGCTCTGACAGGCAACACAATTAATGAATTCCAAATGCAATTATTGCACCTGCATGCGTCCAGTTACATATACAAATGCATTCAAATAAATATAAATACACAATTTTGGTATATACATAAGTTCGCTTCAATGGCTGTAACGACACGCTTTTGCACAATTTAACAATTCCATAAAATACAATGAAATTGGCTTTAAAACAGCAATAATTATGTTCAATTTATGGAAACTGTGAATGCAAAATTTAGTTATCTCTTAAGTGGCACTTTAAAGTGTCGCTTTAACTTGACTAAGCGCAACTCGACTGTGAATTATGATAATAACTAAAATGTATACATAAATATGCACATATATACACATTCGTGCAACAAAATTACCAACAATGCCAAGAATTATCTCAGTACATGCAGTTGTGAGTATCTGTGTGTGTTTGTAAGGCATTGCCTACATCACTGTCGCCTTACTTGCACCTGCCTAATTAACTTTGTAGCAGTAGCAGCAACTATCAACTGGTAACTTAATTTTATTTCAATGGCTAACAAAAGTTAGAGCTTGCCACAAACTTTTGCTCTTCTGGCTCAATTAGTCGTAGACTTTGGCAAACAATTGGCTAAGTTGCTGTCAAACTGCCGCCACCTAGATGATGCTTTCCCAGCAAACTTACATATACTTTAAATAGCAAAATCGAAACGTTTAATTCTTGGTATTTCAATCGCTTATCATTTTATTATTTGCACTTTCTTGCATGAATTCATTCCACTTACTTATTCATCCAACAGTCCAATTAGGCTCCTCTAAGTAGTTGTTCAAGTGTGAGAATCCAATAACTAAAATCTTAATCTTAATTTATTTTTCTAGTCAACTCTTTATGTCTCTATCTCTCCGTGTGTGTGTCTCTCTCTCTCTCTCTCTCTCTCTCTCTCTCTCTCACTTTGTGAGTCGTTGTTGTATTGCTTTGCCTGGCCGTAATTTAAACGTTTGAATTATGTTTGACAGTGTTTCAATTAAGTATATAACACAATAATACCACAATTAATATGCATTCAGTTGTTCCACAAACACACATACAAGCACACACACAAAAATGAATCAAATGAGTTCAAATTGCACGCCAACTTTCACCTCCCAATTTCCCCTCACAATACAGCTCTAAATGGAAGTTATAATTCGCTACAATTTATGATGCATACTTCGGGGAGTATCTGTTAAAATCTACCAACATCCATATTCCGTATTCAATTTTAGTAACAATTTCACAGATTTTTATATAGTCTAAATATCATGTATAATTTGGCAATATGTTTAAGATTTTAAATAATCCTTTATTATTATATGCTCACTTTATGAAATGTAGCAACTTATCTGATAGGTTGCAGTTTTGCTTCATTATTTTTAAAATTCATGTTGTTGTTTTTTTTGTAGGGTATTGCTATGTGAGCAATGCACTTTTTAATTATTTAATAGCCACACAAATTTTTACAAACATATATCAGACATTTGGATCTAGAAAATGAAAAATCTGTGCAATTTAATCGGAACTAAATACGAAATCTTGTCGAAATTACTCAGCAGCTCACAAGAGAAAGTAGAAAGAATTGTCCTTGCAGGACTGTGTCAAGGATTCTTCAATTAAAGTATGCCATTTAAAATGCAAGCAACAATTTCAGCTGTTGAGCTGAATAAACTGTTGTTGTTATAGCTGCCTGCGCTTGGTTGTAGAACACAAGCGACAGATATCCACATCCATATGATGCATATACATATACATATGCTACAGGTTATGTGTCTATGTGTAGCACTTGTGCATCCAATAAATGTCCCTGTAAAACTGTCAAACCAATAGACCGACTCCAATTTCCAATTGCCAACAGTTTTCCCGTTACTAAATTGCCTGCATACCTATACCTCAGCTTGGCATGCAATTTCAATGTCCTTGTGCTTGTGTGTCTGCCTGTATGTGTGTTTGTGTGTGTCTGTGTGTGTATGCAGTCAACAATAAGAACAACAGACAAACAACAAAAGTACAGCAACCACATTTTTGTGTATGCCCAAGTTATTAATATGAAACTTTTGCCGTCATTCTCTTCATTGGAAACGTGCAACTTTGCCACATTTGCCAACTTTCGCCACCGTTTCAACTTGCCACCAACTTGCGCAGGCAACAGGCGCACCGCAAGCGTTCGGTCCGTGGGATACAGTGATCTTTTCGTGCTGAGCAAGAAGGACATGTGGGACGTGCTCAAGGAATATCCGGCGGCGCGTGTGCGCCTCGAGTCGATAGCCGTCAAGCGGCTGGAGAAGTATAAGAAGGCGCCACTAGAGAAAGGTAAGGTCGTTAACATTGTTATGACCCACACCCTACAAAAACACACACAAAAACCCACTCGAAATTTGCCAATGAAATTAGAAACGAATGATTGCGTTTACAAATACGAATTGCCCCCTTTCGAATAACACAAATCGATTGTTTTGCCTTCCGTTGCTTTTTTCCCTCCCTTCTTTTGGTTTTGCTGTGATCTTTTTTGATTTTAAAACGCAGTCAAATACTTTAATGTAGTTGCCATGGGCCGCTGCCAGTCGACGCCGGGTCTGGTGGAGAGCTGTGGCCGCACCACGCTCGAGGACATGTGGTTGCCGCCGGCAACAATCTCTATGATGCATCAGGTGCAGCAACATCAGCAGCAGCAGCAGCAGCAACAATTGCTGCAGCAACAACAACAGCAGCTGCAACAACAACAACAACAGCTGCAGCAGCAACAACATTCACATGGCTATAGGTAAGTTTTGGGCTTTTTCACTGCTCAAGTTGAGCTCCCCAACTAAATACTTGCAGTCCACGCAGCTATGCGGATCATCTGGTGCGGGCCACGGACTCGCCACGTTCGGTGAGTCCCAGCGCACATGGTTCCGAGGAGAGGCCACGTAGCCGCGCCACCTCGCACCACTCAATGAGGCCCCAATCGCAGCCCAGCCATGGAGGTGAGTAGTAGTTAAAAATAATTCGCTGTCCACTCAGACCTTTGCTATTTGTTTAAATTCCTTTAATATTAATTGATAGCATTTCCTAAAATAAATGAAATAAATTGTAATCATTATTTTGTATTTATTTGCAATTTTTGAATTAATATGTTTTACTATATGATTACTAATATCTCATTCTCTCCCACTCTCCTTATCGACTTGTCAGGCCACATATGCGACTCGAGTTCGCAGCTGGCAGAGTGCTATGGCGCTGGTGTTGGTGGCACCACGCCGCTGCTCGGCTCCCACGAGGCCTTGGAGGATGAGATCAAGCGATTGAGAGAGCGTCTGCATACGGTTGAATCGGAGAATCAGGCACTTAACACGAAACTGTCACAGCAGCAATGGGATTTAGAGAATCGTCTGGCCGAGATAGAGATGCAAATCTGCGGCGTCTCATCGACATCGAGTGTGGACCCCGATAATGAGGCCGAGGAGCTGGAACGCAATCGCGAGAGTATCATATAACACGGGAGCGTGCTGCCCCATCAGCATCAGCCGATCGGTATGGTGTACATATCATGTTCCTCATGACTCCCATGATTCATTCGACAACAAAAAAAATGGAAAACGAATCAAAATGCGAATGCGACAATATAGCCTCATAAACATTTGCATCAATCTCTTTCTCTCACACTCCCTATATCTGTCTCTGTCTCGCTGTATGTGTGCCACGCCCACAACATTTGTCTTACATCTCTATGTGTTTCACGCTCTCTGTCTGCCTGTGTGTGTGCGTGTGTGTTTGATTGTTGTGCATGCGGTCGAAATATTGCCAAATTGCCAATTTGCCTTACTAACTAAATGAACCCGACGCGAACAGGAGCAGCAGCTGCTAACACGGCATCGCAGGAGGACCAGCACCAGGATCAACAACCGCAACAAAACCAGCACCAGCGACGCATGCAACGCGCCAGCAACAATGCAACGCAAACAACAACAAATGAAAAGAAGACACGAATCAATGCCAAATATTGCTCGCTGTAGGACAAGAGAATAATGCTAAAAACGAGATACAAGAGGGATGAGCGATGAGGAGAAGTTAATGCATATTGCTGCAGGTTTAGCCAGATTGATTATTGGTAGGCTAGTTTAGTATCGTATGCGGCTTGTGTTAGTTGATACCTCCCATACACACACACACACACACCACACACACTCCCACACCCACTAAAAATGGCACTGCCAGAATTGTTTAGCCAATTGCAACGCTGAATGGTTTGCATAGCTCAATGCAATATGTACATACTATTTATATAAAGCTAAAGTTAGTTATTTCTAAACAATAATAACAAAAATATAATAAAAAAAACCAAGCCCATTTGCTAGTTTAGTTCGCATCTTTCAGATTCCAACAAAAGAAATACTTGTAGCTAGCTTAAGATTTGTGAGGAACTTTTTAAATCTAAACGCAGTGTATGTAAATTAGTGAGACATCGGAAAAGCTTTAATAGATATTCCGAGATAAATGAAAAAAAAAACTCAAGTCGCTCATTGAGTTACCATATAATCAGATGATTAACAGCTCTAGTTGTAACCCTATCTATATACCTAAAAAATTTCAATACTATCATATATACATATATACATCTGCAGCCATAGAGCTAGTTATATAAGTAGTCATCATTAGACGTTAGTTTTTTTGCTAATTTCAATTAATACAACAACAAAAAAAACAACAAAAATCAAACAAATTAATTATTCATGTACACGCATTGTATGTAATTTGCATTGTAAATATTTTCAATCTGAGGATTCAATTAGAATATATCAAAAGCTAAAACGATTATCTAAAAAAAAAACATAAAAAGAACTATAATAATTTAACTTAAATTGAACTAATTACGAGTATTAATGAATCTTAAGTGTACTGTAATATTTGCTATATGTAATTGTAATTTGAAAAAATTTACTAGATGTGTATATGGGAAACGATTTACTTTAAAATTGAAAATAATATTCAACAAAAAAAAAACACATTTACGATAAACCAACAAAAATATTTGAAAAATATTTGTACTATTGGAAAAGAACTGCCACAAAATACAACAGACACTAAAAAAAAACATTATACACATTTATTACATCAAAAATCGAATAACAAAATCAACAAAAATGGGTTGAAAAAATGTGAAAACAAGAAAAACAACTGTCAAACAACTTTTAATGCAATATTATATTGTACTACTATATTAGTATATTGTATGAAATATGGCATTGGGTATATGTTGGTATATGATAAATGTATATGTAATACGATATGGATACTCACAACTGACAGATCTAAATGTATTGTAATGTAGTTAGTTTGCCAAGCTAAACAAATGCTGAAATCACATTTGAGATAAGATTCGAAAATATTTGAATGATGAATTCTAAACGCTGTAGAGAAAGTTCTGTAGCAGAACTAAGCGATGATTTTGGTAAGCCCATAATATGGGAACGCACTGCAGGCTTAAGTGATCGAAGACCGAAGAATTTAGGTGTAAACTCTAGGAATAAATAATAACTACTTAATTAGTTACCATTAGATGTGTACAAGAGAAGACCAAATAATATTTCAGAAATTGTTCTGTGTCAACACAAATACATACACACACTTACACCCACACCTAAACACATTAAGACACACACACACACACAAATAGACACATATAATCTAAAAGTAATAATTACAAGTATATACGAGAAAAACCAAGCTATTAACTTAAGTGTATCAATGAGTATGCGATTGATTGATTGATTAATTGATTGAGTGTCTATAAGCCGCTACTTAATGTGCTATTCAAGCTCCAGCTGCGAGCCATTCCCATGTAGAAAATAATGAAAAAACTAAAATCAAACTAATTCACTTCATGCTGATGCCAAAATTAAGGAATTTCCACTCACACATTTTGTTAGCATTTTCTCTTAGATTTTCTTCTTTTTTTGTGAAAACAAAAAGCAACTACAATTATATAATTCTATTTCATAGTTTATACCTAATTGTATTGTACTTCGAAACATTATTGCAATTGATTATTATAGAGAAAGAAATATAAAAAAAGAAGTTTATTCATTAATATGCCTACATTAATAATTACAATAAACATAAAATGGGGTTTCATCTAAGACGAAAAATGAAAATGAGGAAAAAAAATTAAACAAAAGAAATTATACTAAAAGCTGTTGATGGTTTTTGGTTTTTATTTAGCCAGTTAAAAAAAAGAAAACGTTATTTATGAATAATAAAATTAAATTTTATTGCTTCTTAGCATGCTGATACATAGCACATAATGCAGAAACGGCAGAAAGCAGAATCCGAGGGAAAGGTGGAGCTGATCATACCTAAAATAAAGATAGAAAGAGAGTATGAGAATTTTCACACTACCCACGGCTACAGTCTGCAAATGTTTGTTGGCTTTTCTTTGGTTAACTCAAGTTTTTGTTAAAAAATATACAAGAAAAAGAAAAATGAAACTACATCGATTTGGTTGTGTTGTTGCTAATATAAAAGAAAAGCTTTTGGCAATTTGCGGAAAGTTGAGAAATGGATGGATGTTAAGCTTACAGTTTGTATATGAATTGAGAAATGTGCTAATCTTAATTTCTAATTAATTTAATGCAGTGTCCTATGAGAAAACCAACAACATTTATAGCTTTATTTTGTGACTATAAATTAATTAATTTATTTATAAGATTATACAATAAATTAATTCAGCATGACTTCATTCACAAGAAATCATAAAAATAAAACAAAAAATCAAATGAAAAATACAGCAAAAAAAAAATACAACAAATAAACATATATAAAATCATTAATGGCATTTTTTAAGATAATATTCAGAGCAGTCAGCGCCGATTTGCAGAAAGTGAATCGAGCTTAGATAATACACCTGTATACCCAGATACTTATGTACTTATATGATCGTTCAAAGATCATAAGCGAGAGCATTTTAAAGCCGTGTGTGTTTAGCCACAAAACTGACAGCTATAGCGCCAAAAAGGGTAACAAAAAAACCGAAAAAAACAAACAAATTAATAATAAAAAAGAACAACAAAATACACAAAAAAAAAAACACTAAAAAATACAAATAAAATCAAAACATAAAAAATTCTTGAGAAATGAAAGAAAACGCATTGTTTCTACTTCTTCACAGTACATTGGATCAGGGGCAGGTGAGTAAGAAGGGAGCGCCAGTAATAGCTCAAGCTGCGTTTTATAATCAATAACTTTTGAAATAAGCCGCAGCCGCCAATACAAATTGTTCAATTATCAAAGAGAAACCACAGAGTCATCGATAATTAACGTGCAGTCCATTAAAAAAAAAAAACTAAATACAAAATAATCCCAAGAACCAAAATGCGTTTCGTAAACGGAAACGCCACGAAACTTGCACAACTCTAAGCACAACTGAGAAGTTGCTTAACTGAGCTCTCAAGAGGCGAATGGAGAGCCCAAAACAAAAGCGCAGCAAAGCTAGTAAACAAAACAAGCAGAGATCGCGATGAACAAACGATGACGTACTAACTTGACTTCCAGTTGCGACCGAAAGCTTTTTAGCTTCGAGTGGAAACTGTTTTTTTTTTTGGTCGAAACTGAAACTTGGCTTAAAGTGCGCTCCGTTTGTTCAGTCGTTGTCGGCAACTCGTGCGCGTTGGACGTGTTTTTTCCAAAACAAAACAACTAAAAAAAGGCCACTGCAAACTGCAACAAAGCCGAACTCCCCATAACCCCACCCCGAAACAATCAACAAGCGCCGCAACCAGAAAAACAACGAGCAAAGTGTAAGAAGAGTCGAAAGCGAGGCAGCAGTGAGCAGCAACAAGTGCTTAACAAAACAAATTTAATAAAAGCCTAAAGAGAAATGCCATGAAAATAAATAAGCCTTTATATAAAACTAACAATATCAGCTCAAGTGCACAACGGCTTACGCCACACCCCCCGCTGTCGTCAAGAAGCGCGTTTCTAACGCTAAAGCATAATTTTAGATTTGCATAACTTAAGCGTCGTTTTTAGCCAAGTTAAAATCACATTCTCAAACTCAAGTTATTCTCGGCCGTTTGCTTTGACTGCTGTTCCTCCACACGAGATTTAGCTACAGCTTCACGAATCTCAAGCGTTGCGTGCTGTTCTACTTCCAAAGCCACAAATTAAGCAGACATATATTATTTCTTCTGCTTCCTATTATTTATATACATATATATATAAATATACATATATATATATATATCCATGATATCCATGTTAAACACGTGAACTAAACTCGGCCGTGTGAACAAAGCAACGGCATAAATAATAATAATAAAATACAACATTATAATCACAATATGCCCAAGAACGGACTAGTTTGTGGGGCGTGCAAATACCAAATACCAAAAGTCGAGCGAACGCGGGCGTTGTCTCTACAGTATTTCTTCTTGTGTATTTGCATTTTGCTGGCCCATTACGTAATGCCAGCCGCATACGACGAGCAGCAGATATAATAAAAACCGAAAGTTATTTTTTGTTATCTGAATCTGGTTTTTCGATTGGTTTTTAGTTTTGGTTTTAAGTGTTTCTTAACCGCATTCAGTTGCAGTACGTTAGTGGTAATTGGGCTGTTATGGATTGCCCGGCACACCGTTTGTTTTTGTTTGTGATTATAAACGTCTACAAAGTTGGGTGTGTAAAGTAATGAGCAAAAATTAAATACAGAATAAAAATAGAAGAACAGCAGTAACAACAACAGAATACGCGGCTGCGCTTTGGTGACGTCTAACGGCATAAATCAAATGACTGAAGACACGAACTTGAAGTGCGGTTCAAGTGTGTGTGTGCTTAAGTATGTGTGTATGTGTTCTTCACTATTTATGAACAGCAATAAATGCTGCCAAAAATAAATGCTCGCTTGCAAGCAATTCATAGGAAACTCAACGTTAATGAGCTGCCAGCCAGCCAGTTAGTTCAAGGCGTGTCCATCAGCCAAGATGTAGATAAATAATGGCTATTCAGCTGACATAGCATTTGCCAATGACAGCCAAAAGCATAAAAGACACTTAAAATCTATATGGATATATTATATGAAGCCAATAATAATAAAATTATAATGTATGATTTATCAGAAGTCTCGACTGAATCAAGTTTTCCTTTAAAGCGAGTAAAACGAGAAGATTTATTTTGATTAAATTTATCAATTAATTATGAATCAGAATATGAATTACGCGTACAATCCCCTTTAGACGAGAATTATACTCCAGTGGAGTCAATGTCGTATTTATACAGATTTGGAAAACCTAGTGAAGCTCATTAGGATAATTTGGGCACTTGTTAAAGCTATCAATTTAATCAGAGTGCTTTAGATAAGCTAACTAGCAGATACAATGCAATTAAATTAAAGTGAACTACTTTTTTTTAAATTTATATAAGTAGCTATGAATGGCAGTTGACTAAACACTCATTCAAAACCACGTTCATTCACCATTTCAAACATTATTCTGCTCTGATGAGTGCTTTCCCAAAAACTGTACATTTTCGAGCTCTTCATACTATATGAGCATAATTACTTTTAGCCATAACTGACTTTTAGCCCACACAAAAGCACATAATTACTTCGCGGCTACAGTAGAGACTACTTATTATTTTCGAGAATATTTTACACAGTTTCGCATTAACTGCAAGCATAAAAAGTGTCGTAACATACATTGTTCTGTATCACACAATAAAATCATTCACAATTCAATGCGCATTTGTCGCTTACTTTGGCACAAATCAAACTTGAAACCTCGCCCACGTTGAGAACGAGGCGTTGAACCACCATAAGCACCACAACACATCAGCTCCATTCTCATGTGGGTGCCACTGCTGATGGTGATGACGACTACGACTCTGCTCTGGGGTTATATGTGTGTGTAACAGCGTGTGTGGGTGTTCTAGCAAGGCGAATTTCGGACAGCAAAATCGAGTCGAATCGAGAAATGTGTAAAAATGCCACATTCAAAAGAAACAAATAATAAAACAAGACATAAAAAAAGGAGAAAAAATCCACCTACACATGCAACTCATGATATCGTTGGGCTGTGCAAAATCAAACAAATATATACAACTTGGCCATTTTCAGTTTGGCCAGACTTAGTTGCTAAGTTTAAAATATTTTCAACTGCTTACGTAATGTAACTGGCATGGCCCTAAAACTAAAACTGGGCGTGTACCCAAATGTATTGTTCGACCTAAACAAGCCGCTTGAGTCACGTTAAAGATGTTAACAAACAACAAATACAACAACAACAGCAACAACAACTACAAGAGTAAATAAAAAAACGAGCATAGTATAAAAAACGGCAAACAAATGAGGCAACTAGCCAAACACTTTCGTTAACTGTTTGCTCTCTTGACCAACTGTGCAAACTAAGCATTGCCTCAATTGTAGTTGTTTTGCAGTTGAAGTCGGATATAGAGTTAAAGTTGAAGTTGTTGTTGAAGTTTCAAGCCAAGACTGTGCCCATTCCCATGACCTTGCCAACAAGTGCTGCCGCTGTCCCAGTTAATGACTCGATTTAGAACGCGTGCTCATTAACTACAACTAATTACGGCCAGGTTCATTGCCAATGTCAATTGCAACCACATGACATCAGCAGCAGCAGCAGCAACAGATTTCAATTGACATCAGTTCAGTTGCGTTAACTTCAGTTCAGTTTTGTCATATATATACATATATAAATATATATATATGTAGTGCATTCCACATGTGCGAGTACATAAATCCATAACTCATTTCGCTGGCAACCTTAACGCTTTTACAAACGGTTGACCGTTTTTTTTACACATGTGGAATTCACTTCCAACAATTTGCTGTCTATCTAAATTTATGCAATTTTCGCAACGCCATTCGTAATGTAATTGTATATACCCTGGAGCCATTAGATTATTTAAGAATACGGAGGGTATCATTAAGTTAGCCAGCAGGCAACTGAGATCTTTTAATGCAAACTATAGATACGATCTAACCTTCATACATACAGCCATAATTTTGTATGTGGGTGCAAATGTGTTTACAGAGATTAAACTCATAAGCGAGGAAATGTAAACTTTTGTTTACTGTCGCCAGCTCGTAAATAGTTTGATTAATGTATATTTGATTAATGTAAAATAATTAGAGTCGCCTAAAAGAATTCCTAATTTTAGATAATCAGAGTGTGGTTAACAAATACTTCAGTATGGTAAGCGTGTGTTGCATAATTTAATATTTTTACGTTTGTAACTGAGTCTCAAATTAAAAAATTTAAAATATTTGGTATACTGTTTCGATATAAGATATCGATGTTTATACATCGTAATATCTTCTTGCATATAAGAGACATTTAGTTGCTTACAGGGTATCCACATAGTTGAGCACTCTGGACAAGTTTATTCTTATTTGTTTTCAATCAGTATTTTGTTGTACAAAAACTCACAGCTCAGAGCTCAACTTGTCGCGTTTCCATTGAAGATGCGTGATGTCATCATCGGAATAAAGTAAACACGTTCAACGAAAAAATTGTTTCTCAATATGCACAATAAAACAATTTGGGTGTTTTGAAATGTGAGCTCCTCAGATGATGATATATTGGAATGCGAGTTACTTAGCATAGTGATACTGTTCAAATACGATATAGTAAACCGGATTTCCGATAATTAGAGCTTTCTGCACTTTTGACGCCTCGTCGTCTTCTGCCAAAATGCAAATGTTGGCCAGCTTTGAGTGGGGGAAGACCCCAAAGCAACCGCAATTTGTATTTGGCAGCGTTCACTAATCGACTTATCAAGTGGCCAATTAGCAATTAGCATTTCAAGTAGCTTTCAATTTGGCTGGCCAAAAATGCCAGAGGTAAAAGCGAGTGAAATTTTGTCCACAATGCGATCAATGGGCCACAGAGAATTGCAATTGTCTGCATAACTACATGTGAGAGTTTTAGCTCCCACATTTTGCGTCACAAAACATCGTCGTCTATGGTCGTCCATATCGCCTATGGGCTGTAAGCAGAAACCTTGACGGCCTTCTAAACTTGCTCGACGCGGTGGCTGTTGTGAAAGACTTACAGTTTCCTACGCTACTCCAACAACAACCACACACGTTTTTATTATATTTCTATTTTTTCATATATATATATATATATATCTCTTTTTTTTTGCTTTGCGTTTTTATTTATCTATTTTTTTTTTAACTCTGCCCACCGCACCGAGCTCGCAAAGTTTGTGTTTTTGCGGCGAAATTCCAAACTAAGTGAATTATTTCTTCTTTTTTTTGTGTGTGTTTATGTGTTTTTAGACTCTTTTTTTCAATTTTCCTTTTGGCTCGTTTCGCTTTGGCTTGGAACGAGCGTTGCAAACCAGTTTTTCTATAGCCAGATTCGGATTCGGATTCGGATTCGCATGCCCACATTTTGATAGCTGTTGTTGTTATTGCTGTTGTGATTTGAGCGAGCTTTAAGCTCGAGCATGACGTCATTGTTTTTGCACTTACTGGCTGGCTTACTGGCTGGCTGTTTGTTTTGGCTCAAAGCAAGTGGCACCAAAGTGGCAAACACTCAGTTCGCATTGGGCAACGATCGCGTGCGTTCGGAAATCGAAATCGAAATCGCAACGAATCGCGTTGGCCAATTAACAACTTAATAGAATATATTTTTTTGTTTATCTTTTGCTATACGCAGCCATTAAAAAACTAAATCAAAAACAATGAAACAATTGCGAGCCGCAGCTGCATGAAACTGAGGCAAGCCCAAACGCAACGAAAGTGAAGTGAAGTGACGAAAAGTGAGCGGTGCCACAATGGACGTCAAAGATATCAAGGGCGCCAAGGTGACGCACGCGGGTCTGCTCAAGCACAACACAGATGGCACCACCGAGACACAAAAGATCACCCATGCCGGATTGGTGGCACGCAGTCCGGAGGGCACCGCCGCCAAGGGCATGAATATACGCGGCAATGAGGATCTCTGGGTCGAGATCCAGGCGAACACATTTCGCAATTGGGTCAACGAGCATTTGCGCGAGACGGGCATGCAGGTGAGTCTACACTCTGAAAAATATGTGAGTCATAGAAATTACAAATTATTTTTATCTGATGCCCTCTGAAGCACTCGCATAAAAATAAAATAAATATTTTTGATTCATTGAAATCTCCGATCTATGCGAAACATAAAATTCAATTTTATTTTAAATCTTTTCTTATCTCTTTTGAGAATTCAATTTATACACTTATGCATAAAATAACCTGACACGTACCCACCTGAAAGTTTCAATATGATAACTCTAGTCTTCACACGGATAAAATATTTAGTTTAGCTGGAAATATATTTTATAGACAGAGGTTGGGCATTCTATGCCTTTATAACAATCGGCGCTCGATCAGGCGGAACCGTCAACAATGCGATGATTGGTTACTCAGTCAATGGGTCGGGCAGTCAATAGAACTATCGATTACACGCATATACAGATTGTGTATAAACGTGATTACTCAGCGCTTCGAGCAGGGCCTGCATACAGTTAGCACTTTGGCTTGGACAGGTGGCTGCATTAATTTCAGCTCTTCCGCGAAGCAGAAAAGGCAGCCTTAAATGGACGCACATACCACCCTGTACAGTCAAATCTCTCAACTCATTGTCGCCCACACATATGAACATACGCGGCGTATACGCAACGCCCACAACTTAATAGCAAGTGCGACGACTTCAATGGCAGCAGTTACTTATTTAGTCTACAATCGAGTAATGTGTAGCAGCACTTGAAGGCGACATTTTAAATTCGTCGGTCAGTAATTACAAAATGACATACAAAAGCAATCGCAGCATGCATTTCATTAGTCGCCATTTCGGTTTTCGTTTCTCACACAACTGAACTGGCCATATTTGGGCGCTTGAATGCCAAGGCCACACAGCTCACAATAATATCAATAAAATCAGCATCGCTTGAGTTACAAAACAAAAGTCAGCGACAGATTTTTCAAGTTTCATGCATAAATTTGTGGAGTCAAATAAAATGAATGATGAGCCGAGCAGCTAGGGAGCTGGGGCAAGGTCACAGCCCTCCAAAATGGGCATAGTTCGCTTGGCGAGTCAACCGCTCGAAAGCAGCGTTAATTGATCTTGAGCTGTGTGCTGCGAGCCTAAATTAAAAGCCTCACCGCTATATTTAGGTCAAAAATGCCAAATTGAGACTTTCAAGTGTGCATTTTATATTCTAGCCAATGCGCATTTACGGCTAATGAAATCGCAATCAACTTCATATGCCATATGCCCCTGCTTAGTTACACTAACATGTGCAATTCATTGTCAATAATCATTCCCAAAAACATAATGAGAAATTATGCTTTCGTCTATTGACGGTAATTGATGCCATAATATTTAAAAAAAGCAAGCAATTAATGAAATTCTGTGGGAATTAATTTAAGTTCAATATGTCAATGCTTGAAAAAAAATTGCTTTACTCTGGTTTTAATGAACAAATTAAAAATGTAATACCTGCAATAAATTGATAGGGGCCTAGAAACAGAACAGCCACGTATATTTTGTCACTCACATATATTGTTTAAAAAAAAATGGAATATTTGTGCAACATTTCATGTTGATTTAATGTTAATCGCACATATCTGATAGCACAATATTATTAACTAGTAAATCACAACATGTAGTAGTTGTAGCTTTTATCGATTAACACAATCTAATATACATGAGTGGAGAAACTTTCAGAAATTCAAAACACAATTGGCTTGCCCAACAAACATATGTGCGCACATTTTTCTTCAGGATATGCGAGATAAGCTTCTCACATGGCAGACAATTGGAATTTATGAGCGCATGCTGATAGCATCCACTCTCGCATATATCGTAAAAAGTCAAAAGACTTGCAAATTTAAAGGTTATGCGCACATGAAAACAACAAGAAAAGAACAACCCCACCAACAACCCCACCAACAACCCCACCAACAACCCCTACCAACAACTGGCAACTGGCAGTCAGAAGAAAAGTGGTGCTCTTGTTGTTTGGCAACTATGTGCGAGATTTTTATGGCCATCCACAGAATATTTTGTACGAGCACACACGAACCAAAAACAAACAGCAACAGACACGCGATTGTCTCGCCGACTGTGCTGACAGCTCTGAGATAAAAAGCTTTATGTCAAATGCTAAAATTGCAAAGACGCATGCGGAGAAAGCCAACAGCAGATCCAGGGCTCGTCATGTGAGTGTGAGTGTGAGTGTGGGTGTGTTTGCCAGCATTCCGACCAAGACATATATTGCAAGCCCAATGAAGGTAGCTCTCGACACGCCCAATGTGGGCTATAACTAGCGGGCTTCTCTATAAGTATGCTTATTATTGTTGTTACTGTTGTTGTTGTACCTTTACTGTTGGTTGGCCATTATGAAAGTTGGCAGAGGTTCATGCATAGCTTCAAGCAGACAATGCTAATTAACGACCATTCAAAGAGAGAGAGAGCAAATTGTTACAATAAATTTCGAACAATATACCCAAGGCCAACGAACATATAAACAAATGTATTTCTATTTACTTTGTGACAGGTGCACGACTGGGCAACCGACTTTTGCGATGGCACCTGTCTGTGTGCCTTGGTCGAGAATTTGCAGACGCGTCCGTTGAAGCCATCCTGGAATCGTCGGCCGGCGAATCAGCATCATTATCTGGAGAATGCGACGACCGCCCTAAAGTCCATCGAGGCGGATCACATTAAACTGGTGAACATTGGCAATGTCGACATTGTCAATGGCAATGTGAAACTAATTCTGGGCCTGATCTGGTCCCTGATTGTGCGCTACCAGATTGGACGCAGCAAGTTCCCGCCGCGTAAGCTGATGTTGGCCTGGCTGCAAGCCGCTTTGCCGGACTGCAAGATCACCAATCTGACCACGGATTGGAATAGCGGCGTTAATCTAGCCGCACTCCTTGACTACTGCCAGCCGGGTCTGTTTCCGCATTGGCGCAGTCTCGATCCTAGTCAGAGTGTGCGCAACTGCACCAATGCCATGAATCTGGCGCAACGCGAATTCAATGTGCCCAAGGTGCTCGAGCCGGAGTATCTGGCCTCGCCCTGGTTGGACGAACTCTCTGGCATGACGTATCTATCGTACTTCATGAAGCCAGGTGGACCCGGCTACAATGCCACAATGCGCTGGGTCAACACGCAGGTCAAGGACCAAGTGAAGAACTTTACGGTAAGCTTATAATTTAAAAAAAAAACTTAAGTTAATTTTTTTTTTCAATATCGCTTCTCTATGCGATGTTCATAGTTCATTTCAATTAAAACTTGTGCATTTGGATGTTATAATCTTTTATGTTTAACATTGCCAAAGGTCTCTGCAGCCGGGGCCCTTACTATAGAAAAAGCCAACCAAACAAATGAATACACAATATAACATAATAATAAAATGTTAAGATTTGAACACGCGTTTTTAATGCTAAGGCATTTTTAAATTTAATAATTAAATAAGCAGACTTTCTTTTAAATATCGCCTTTCGATGCGATTTTCATGTACTGATGCTCATGCACATCTTCATGTTAATTTTGACTATTATGTTCATGTATTTTTAGAGCATAGATGATATACATATGTTGTTTTACTTTAAGCATTGCAAAATGTTTCTGCAGCCAGGGCTATTATTGCAAACTAGTAGAAAAACTCAACTAAAATAAATATGAATACGTAATGATAAAATGGTAACATTTAAAAATGTGCTTTCAAATATAAATTCTGCATTAATTTATACTGGGGCATTGTTGATGAAAATAGTTTCAGTTTCGGGATATTATTGACAGTCTGATTTTTTACTTAACTTTCTTAATAATTTTGTATTGTAAAGTCCTTAGTTTTGTGACATGGTAAATGATCTGCTCTCTCTCCAACTCCCACTCTGTCCAATGTTAAAGTGACACTTTGTCATAGTTGAAAGTAGCAGTCGCTTGTACCTGTGCAGCTCTAAAGTATAAATGAACAATAAAAACCCACTCATTAAAGCTTTCTAAATGACATTCAAACAACTTTTTATGCGCTGCGCATTTGTTGGCTTGCTACAAATACATTTCCATTATTCATTTTGTCAATGTCAATAGCAAATTGTGCTGTTAATTTTCATGCACATATTTTGTAAGTACATGAAAATTGTGTACTAAGCGAGAAAGTGTCATTTCAACATGAGCACTCACATAATGGGATTGTTCAACACTGCCTGCGAGCACAATTGCCGGCCTTTAATTGCAATTGCGCAATTAATTTGTAATTGGTTTATTTATTAATTGGCTTGTATTCGTAGAGCGACTGGAACGATGGACGCGTGCTGTGCGAAATCATTAAGGGACTGGGCGGCTCGGCCCCGGCGCCCGATAAGTTGAGCACCGATCCATTCCACTATGAGAACAATATACGCAAGGCTGTCGATGCTGGCGCCAAGCTGGGCGTGCAGCCCATATTGACACCCAAGGATATGGCCAATCCGGAAGTGGAGCATCTGGGCATCATGGCGTATGCGGCGAATTTGCAGTGGGTGACGCCACGGCCTCCACTCTCCGACTCGGTTAACGTCTATCTGGAGAGCACTTCCGGCCGTGTTGGCGAACCGGTATGTGCTTGACCTGGAAGCAGTCCTTGTTCCCGTAGTGAAACGCATTAATGCTTAATAACCATTTCACACGCAGACGCATTTCCGCATCGATGTGTTGTCGCGAGACATCAGCTTGAGCTCGGTGCGCTGTCACGTGGTGCCACCATCCGGTCAACCCGGGCATCCGGTGCGGCTGAATGCGCATGGCGAGGGTGTCTACGTGCCAGAGCGCTATGGCATGCACGAGATTGTCGTCGAAATTGGCGAGGATAGCCTTGGAGGGCACTTCTTCCGTGTGCTGCCGCGTCTTATGCAGGTGGCGCCACCTGGAATGGCACCATGCGCCCTGGGCAGCCTGGTCGAGGTGCTGGTGAATGCAACGGGTGCACCGAAGACAGAGGATATTCTGGTCACGGCTGTGTCGCCCACTGGCATCTCGCACAATTGCCCGCTGAAGAAGATTGACGAGGGACACAGTGCCATATTCAAGCCGGATGAGGCGGGCATCTGGGAGATAGCCATCACGTACCAGGGACGTCACATCCAAGGCGGACCCTTCACCTGTGCCGTGTTCGATGCCTCCGGCGTCTCTGTCCATGGGCTCGATGGCGCCATGCCGCTGCGTGCCCACACCTTCGAGGTGGATGCACGCGGCGTCGGTGTCAACGGGGAGCTGCATGTGGACATTGTCCATGACAAGCACTCGCTGGTCTGCTCCGTCGAGAAGATCGTAGAGAACAAGTATCGAGTGACCTTTATGCCGCGCCAGAATGGTAAATATCGGGTCTACATCTACTTCAATGGCTATGATGTCAAGGGATCGCCATTTATGTAAGTGGAGTCTGACTTTGACTTTGAATATAGTTTTGATTTAATAATAAATCCACTCCACAATCCTAATCCTGTAGCATGCGTGTGGGCACCAAGGGACGTTCGGGTAAGACGCGCAGCAGTCCGTTGCATGAAAGCAAGCATCGCTCGGAGAGTCCGTCGATGCACTTCATCTCTACAACGAATGCGAGGCACAATGATTATCGCAATGCATCGCTCTCTCGTCGGGATCTGCACAGTCATAATACGGCAGAGCGTACGAGCAGCTATTCACCGCAGTATTCACCCAAGCTGGACACAACCGATTATCACAGCTCCAGCTCCAGGTACTACAAGCGGGAGAGTGAGGTAAGTTCAACCGGAGCACGTCTCCAGTTCATCATCTATTGCACGCGGCACTCGGGCTCCTTGATAATGCTTTGCACACACGCACACACACATCAAAATTGAATATTTGGCTAACACACACACACACACACAACCAATCGCCCCTTGACTCCCCTTGACACTCGTTCAAAATTGCATTCGACAGGAGAACCACGGCTCCCCCACACCTCCCCTGACAACAGCAACAACTGGCGGTTCACCCACGGTTAAATATCTAAACTCCGCCGATCTATATACGGAAACCGGTGGCGCTCGTCGCGACTCCAAGACCTCGAACAGCAGCTCGACCAAGAACGATTACTACTACGACAAGGAGAATGAGCTCTATAGTCAGCGTCGCGTCATCAGCAAGCCCACGTTGGCACCGCCTCGCGAGGAGCGCGACCTGACAGCCACAAGCAACACGCAGAGCAGCAGCAGCACCAGCTACCAGCGGCATCAGCAGCACCAGCAGCTGACGCACTCGCTCAGTCCAATACCTAGTCCCACACTGAATGTAACTAAATTTGTTTGCTCGTTTTTGTCGCAAATCCTTTTAAATTATTGCTCTATATTTACTTATGTGTCTTGCTGCTGCTGCGTTGAGCAACTGAACTAATCTTTAATCTTTTATCTCCAAATCTCCTTTAGACGCGCTCCAGCGAGATGCATTCGCACAGTCCGCTGACCATCAAGACATCCAATCAGTATGAGACCTCCACGCGCAACATATCCAATAGTCCGCGTCACGCCTCCGCCTCCCCGGTGCAGCGTTATTCACCAAACAATGCCTATATCAGCACAGCCACCCATCGCATAGGAAGTCCGGTGACCAGCACCTTGAACAAGGTAAACAATTGCAAGTCCCGGAGGACTTACCCAATAGGATAATGGCTTAGTCTATATATATATAGTGGTATATAATATCTTACTAACGGACACATATTTGACTCTAAATCAGTAATATAATCAGTACAATTAATCGTAGTTACGTCTGTTTATCTGTACTTTTATATGTATCTTGGGCAACTTTTCAAATGAAGTACTTAATCTTAATTAAGAAAAACAATTTATATTTAAAGAAATGTTTTATTATTTAGAGTACTTTTATGTAAATGTTTAACTACTGCGATTTTAATAATTCACTTCTTGTCCAATTCTATTCTATCTCTCTTTATATTTATTTATCCACTATTATCGAATAGTTCTTATTAAAGTTCAAATCTCAGTTCTTGTATGGAAAATCGATTGTTCTTCAATGAAAACGCGTTTCAAACTATGGTTGAGCAATTACCTATCAGCATCCTAATTATAATTCTATGTTCTTAAAGGGTATTACTTCCACAGAGCAGCCCAAAACTAATCTGTTCTTTCTTGTTCAATTACAGAACGGCTTCGAGTCGACACGCGTGGAGAAATCATCGACGTACAAGTCCACGTCAAACTATGTGACCGACTCGAATGTGCGTGCGAGTCCTTCCCTGTATGGGACAACGGAGCGAATGCGTCGCATTGGTTCCCCGGAGCCGCGCATCGATCACTCGTCGAATGTACGGGTTTCCTCAATGAAGCCGGCGTCGGCACGTCGTGATAGCTGGGATGTTATCAATAAGACGAAGCATATGCTCTCGCACAATTCGCTCGAATCGCTGGCGAACATGACCGAGACGCAGCTGAACACGGAGCTCAACTACACACGCCCTGATCTGGACAATGAAACACAGCGCAATACACAGTACAACAAGTTTGCGTTGCACAAACAACAACAACAACAGCAACAACAGCAACATCAGTCGGATTATAGACGGGACTCCCCCGACGATGGGGAGCGCTACATGTAGGATCTGTCTATCTATGATAAACACTCTCATCTTTCACTAATTGGTGTTCCGTTCTGCAGACCCAGTGCCATTACCGTCAAATCACACTCGAATAATACATACACGGACAGATCTGGCGGGTATACGAAGACAGTTAAGGAGTCCAGCGAGCATGTCGTCACGGAGAGCAATGGCCATAGTCCGAGCATTGCCAACAATAATTCCGGCACCGGTTACGGATATAGCTCACTCTCCCGATTTCGTCCCATAGACAGCAATGCAACAGGTGCTCGAGCCATACGCGTACAGAATATACCGAATGGTTCGATTGGACGACCCGTTGAGTTTGAGATCGACGGCTCCAAGGCCGGCTCCGGCAATCTGGAAATACTTGTGAATGGCGGCCGGGTCACTTCGTCGGTACGCTCGCTGGGTGGCCAACGATTTATAGCCAGCTTCACGCCCCACGAACATGGAACACATACCGTGCAGATCACTTTCAATGGAGAGACGGTCCCAGGTGAGTTCACAATAGATTCTACGCTCAAAAGCAGGAAATTATCACGTGTTACGTAATAGGGGTGCCAGGCGTGGGTGCTGCTAGCTTATAAGTCGCGATCATCGGGTACGGCATTCTTTTGTAGCAGTTTTGTACCCTAAACCAAATTGGGCATGCTTGCTTGATTGGCATTTTTGCTGATTGAAGCGGATTTTGAAGTGTTTACTCAGTTTCACAACCGAAATGATTAATGAACATGATTTGAAAGAATCGGACTGCTTAATACTGTCTCTATATATCTCAATAATTAACGACACTAAAACAATTATGAATGTGTTACTTATTTATTATGAATAGATGTAATGTAGTTTTTTTTTAGAACGGTTGATCATTATTATTTCGTTGTTTTATTATTATTCAGAATCTTTTGAGAACTCATAATGCTTAGTTTCGATTAGTGTTATACGAAACCAAATTAGAGCATTATAATTGATCTTATGAATGTAAAAATGGAATTTATTAAAATTTTTTAATTCTATTTTTTATATATACATTTATCGATTCACAAACATTGCTGCTTACATACTCTTGCTATCAGAAAGTGAGCAAAATTTCACAACTGTCAATCACACATCAAACCACAGTGCGGCGAATTCGCGTAGAGAGAGCCTCAGGTGTGCACTCGCACTCTCTCCCTCTCTCTCTCTCTCTCTCTCTCTCTCTTTCTCTCTCTCTCTCTCTCTTGCTCTCTCCTCTATCCTGTACCGCATCAGATCACTTGTTGCTGCGCTTACTTTTGCTCACCTGCCGCATTCGGTGCGCTCTTTTACGCTCCGTTGCGCTCAGTGCGACGCTCTGAGCGCGACCTGCTGAACGAGTTTTAGATGTGTTTTGGGCTCGCTGCTCAGAGTCGCGTTGGCAGCAGCCGTCAGTCATAGATCGCATTTCGAACGTATCTGACACGTTGGCGTCCCGATCATTGCGGAGCGCAGCGGTTAAAGCCAAGAAAATTATTTAACAGAGAGAAAAAGAAAAGAAAAGAAAAGAAAAAAAGCCAACGATTCCGTGTTATTGTGCAAAACGTAAAAGAAAAGAATTGTTTGTAATCAAACACAACAAACGAAAACATTGTCAAACGGTTAAAAGAATTCCCAAAAAAAAACAAAAAAAACGCAAGAAATAAGAAGTTTCTCTGTGGAATGTTAAGCTAATCGAATACATTTTTTGTTCGTGAGATTTCTATGGCAAATATGCTAATATTTCCTATGCGGACGTCGCGTTCCCGTTGTCGTCTCAAAAAAACTAAGTTGCCCTCATCGCATTTTGGTCTCTGTTTGTTGTGTGTGTGTGTGTGTGTGTGTGTTGCGTGTGTGGGGTGCGAGCTATGACAGAAAAAAAAAAACTGAAATACAACTAAAACCAGTTTAATGAACTTTTAAGCTGAACAATATGTTCAATGGGTCTAAAGACAGCTGCGGCTGCGGCTGCGGCTGCTGTTTGGCTTAAAGGTTGAATATCGGCTAAAAATCAACGTCAAATCGCTGAAAAACTGTCGCCTTGCAGTTTGCAATGTTCATCAAGTATGTGTGTGTGTGTGTGTGTGTGTGTGTGTGTGTGGCAGCCATTTTGTTTCGTGCTTGCAGCATGCCACAGCCGCAATTGGGCTCATTTATTGGCCAAGTTAAAGGCCCCTCACATAATCGAGCGACAAGCGAGCGAGTTCAAGCCAAAGCTCATAGATACAAGCACACACACACACACATATATATATATGTATACTTGCAACGCGCACGTTGCAGCAGCAGCAGCGGGAAGTGGCGTGCATTTTTATTTGGATTTGCTCGCCGTTTGCTTTGCAATTTTCAATCTGCTGTCGTTGTCGTTGTTGTTATCGTTGTAGCTGCTTTATATAATATATAAATTGTTCAAGGCGCACTTGTTGCATGCCTTTGTTGGCCGTTGCAGAAGGAAGTTGCACGCCGCCTCATGACAAAGCCACATAGTACAACAGATCCAACAGATACGTCGCATACTGCTTGCCATTCCACTTAGTGCGGCTGCAGCCCAAAACCCGTTGGGATAGGTTGTCAGTCTGTAGTTATTGTTGCTGCTGCTGCTGCTGCTGCTGCATGTTCAGGTAGACGTACATACCACGTATTGAAGGGCGTGCCACAGGTATGCGAGAGATCGAGCCCCAGCCACAGCAGATTGCAATTTCTTTTGCTTGTCTCTCTGCCACTTACTTTCCCACTGACTTGACACAACACAAATATTTGAGCGGACATTTCGTTTTCGTTGCGTTGCGTTGCGTTTCGTTTTTTCATGATTTTTTTCTGCTTCTCGCATAATGAGTGAGTTGTAGCCACACCTCTTTCTTTGGCCAACTTTAAACTGTAAACAGTGACGATCGGCGAGCTGAGCTGAGCTGAATTGAGCTTTTACCTCTGCCACTTATGGCCATTTCCGCTGTCCAACATATTGGCATACATGCCCAATTTCACAGAGCTCCCCCCTGCACTTCCTCTTTCTACCACTCTCTATTTGTATGTATATTTTTTGTGATTTTATGAGGCACACTCAAAGTGAAATTTTTGATAGTCGCACAGAGAGCGGCTGAGGCAACTGGTTTTTAAACGACGCTCAACATTAAAATAAATACCGAAATACGCAATTACAACCAATAATAAATTACAAATTGTTTCGCGACGGCCGCGGAAAATGTTGAAAAACGCGATAAAAACGTGCTCGAATCGTGATTTCTGTTGAACAACATTTTTGTGCAGTGCTCGGCGAAATGATAAATAATGCGAAAGATAATAAGAAAATAAACATGTTTTCGGTCTTTATTGTTAAATTGTTTTGTTGAAATTTGCAGTGCAGCATTTAATAAAACACAACATAATATATAATACACAAGTTTTAAATATACAAATAAATAAATAAATAAGGCGTATAACAAGTCGCTGACATAATCGCAGCGCGTTTTACAACTTGAGTTTTGAAGTGGTTCAAGTTCAGACGTGCCGCCCGCTTCTTCAGCACAATTGTGAATTGATATACAAAAGAATAGGGTCCAATCACGCGTTTCCAGCTAAACATCTTGCACTGCCCAACCACAACAGAAACCGTTACAGAAACAACAAAAGCCTCGCTGCCAACGCTACAACGCATCATCAGCAGCAACAAACAGTCACCGCAAAACGTAAATTTCCACTCCAACAAATCGAATAGCCAAAATAAATTCTTAGATACATAGATACATAGATAGTTTAACTTAGTAGTAACGGTCGCTGTCAGACATTCTAACTTTGCTGCTGGTGCGACAGCTGCTGGCCATCTAACGGTTTTCATGCCACAGTCACGTAACCGATTTCATATACGCACACATACACACAATCACACACACACACACACACACATACATTCACACACACTTATTCATATGCATATTGAATAACAGCATTCAGCCATCTAGTTTTAACTGCACTTGTTCTCTTGGCCGCATGCCGGAAAACTTGGTCGCTACCAGCAACAGCAAGCTCGGCGATTAACAAAGCCTGGCCGACAAGACTGGCCAACAACAGCTAGCCATACTGAATACTGAATACTCTTCTTGTGTGGATCAAATAAAGCGCAGATTAATTCAATCTTAAAAGAAGTAGCAGGAATTGACTTGTTTAAAACAAGAAGTTGACCAAATACAGTTCCAGCATTTATGAGAAGCTAAGAAATTGGATGAAGATATCTGTGTTTTTTAGTTGGCCAATTTTTAAAGTCACCTCAGTCGAATAAGCTAATATAATCTTATTTCATATATAAACTAGTTACGCATGTTTTTATATGACATTTACTTAAACTGCTCTGTTAAACCTCAACTATACATATTTGATTTAAAATGCTTTTAACATATTATTTGACAAGATGCTATTCAATTTTTTATATATGTGCTAAATAGTTAACAAAAATAGGTCATCACATAAACTATAAAATTATCCAAAAATGTATTTATTAATAATACGTGGCTTTAGATTCAGGTTAAAGTCATTCATAAGCCAAACCAATATGTGAAATGGAATGCAATTGAAATAAAAATGATTAGAATAGTTTTATGAAGCTTTAGCCTAACAAACGACATATTCGACTAATAATACCCTGCAGAGGTAGTCAAGAAAGACTAAACAGCAACTAAAACTACAACCGTTATTCGCATACGCAACCAGAGTTCGAATTCGAGTTTGAATTCGAGTTGGAGTTAGAGTTAGAGTTAGAGTTCAAGCTGCAGGCTCTTATCTGCGGCCCGTGGAATGTGGCAATGACACCACAGACTTTTATTAATGAGCATGGGAAACTTTTACTTAATGCTGGCGAGGTCTATGCGATGACTGGCTCCAACTGTTGTTAGCACACAGTTATATGGTCTGCAGGTACAAAATGTGCCAACAAACTGAAAGAACATCATTCAAATTTGATCTATTGGTAGTTGGCTGTGGCAATAGTTTTTTTTTTTTCTTTTTTGCCGGGTTGAGTGTTTAGGTTTTCAGTTTCAATTTTGCAGAAGAAGTTTTCCATGGCGAGACTAGCATTAAAAAAAAGGTTTTTGACCATGTTACGTTCAATGATTTTCGCAAGGCAAAAAAAAAAAAAGTGCCAACTCAAATCGTGTTTAGAGCAAGAGCGCAACAGTTTGATTTTCCAGTGAACTGAGGCGACGGGACGGTAATGGCGATGCCTGCTGTAGCTGTTTTCATGGAAAGCCATAAAAAGTGGCAGCACCAGCGGCAGCTGCAGTATCAGCTACTGTTGCAACCGAAACTAGCGCTAAAAGGAAAAGTGCAGCAGCCAACAAACAAAAAAATATGAAAGAGAAATGTGTGGAAAGTTGCAAACAAAAGTAAATTTTTGCGCCAAGCTGCAACAACCCAGCAGCAACAATCGTGCAAATCAATAAAAGAAAAAAACAAGCAGATAAGCAAACATTTAACGAGCTGCTCGTAATTGCCAATTGCAAGTTCAATTCGCTTGTTGCCAGCCGCCTATCTCAGCCTCGTTCGAAGAGCATAGAAAATACCAACAACTATTGCCAGTTTAACTAACTTTGGCCAATTAATGTGCTATAATATGTTGATTGTCTAAGTATTTGCAACAACTAGTCGTGCCTACTTCGAGTGCCACAAATGCAGATACGGTTGCAGCAACAACGACTATAATTGCTATAGATACAATTGTTCGGCTTCAGATACAGATGCAGATACAAATAGGCAGCTCAAGATACGCACTTGTAACCCACACTCATCCAACTGGCAACGAGGCGGCACAAATTGCGTTTGCCGTAGCAATTGCGACAATTATAATGAGAGACAGCGGAAAACAATGCGAAACCCAAATAGAAATCTTATCGTGACTGGTTTAGCGAGGGTTGCTCATAAGATGCACTGAATTTAAGATAACATAACGGCTCATGGAATATAATTATATTCTTTTGCACACATATATAAATATATATAATATATCTCCTTGCCTTCCTATCATCGACATGATATTTATTATTCATTTTTATTATTTTAATTATTCCAATTTTAACAATAAAAAAATAAATGATGTGTGCATGTGATGTGCTTCTACAACCGGAACTTCACTTGTATTTCTTAAATATCCAATTCAACAAACTCACTTCCTATCTAACGTTTCTACCGAGACCGACTAGCTTATGATTTTCATGCATATAAACAACAAGGATTGTTAGTTAATTACTATGTTTAATTATAATAGTCTTAGTACGAGCTAAATCTATCAAACGTTTCCAGAATCAATTATAATATGAAATAGTTTTGATAAATTGCAATTGATTCTAACTGCAAATATAAGCTCCATCAAAGAGTTTTAGTTAAGCTTACTTAAGATATGCCTAAAGGTTCAATCAACCCTCGCGGCTACTGGCAACTGCTGACTGCAAATGGGGTTTCTTGTCTTGGCAACGCTGGCAGCGGCTCAATTGCAGGCACTCGGTCAGCTCGCTTTGTGGGTCAGATAACCTGGCCAGCGGGTAAAGGGTAGCTCGAATAACGCATTATCATATCGTATCTTATTGCTCTTGACTAACGGTTTTTTTTTATTCTTATTTGTTTGTCGGTTGCAGGTTCACCGTGGCACGCTGAGATCATGTCGTCACCCGGACTAACCGCTCTGGGCGAATCCACACGCCTCGTACCCGCCAATACACCGGCGGTTTTTGAGATACTGCCGCCTCCTGGACAAAGCCTGAGTAAAGGCGAGTGCGTGGCAACGGTTTTGACACCCAACAAGTCAAAGCTGAATGCCAGAGTCACCCATGAGGCGGCAAATGGTGCTGCACGCATTGAGTTCGTGCCCACCGAAGTGGGCACGCACATCATTGATGCGTCCATCAATGGCACAAAGATCGCTGGCGGTCCTTTGATAGCAAAGGTTTATGATGCCAGCCTGATCCAAGTGACCGAGGTAAACGGCGGCGTTGTTGGTCAACCCTGCCAGTTTCGTGTGGACGCCAGTGCAGCGGGTGAGGGACAGCTGGAGATATCCATCAATGAGGGCGAGGTGCCCAATCATGTCCAGGTCGTTGGCGGCGGCCGCTGTCTCGTCTCCTTCACACCCGAGCAGGCCAAATCCCATTTGATTGACATCAAATTTAATGGCGAAACGGTTCGCGGCTGTCCCTTCGTCTGCGCCGTGGCGGACACCTCGCGCGTCCTGCTCAACCTAACCAATCTGGAGCTGATACCCGTCAACCGGCCCTCCTCCTTTCACATCACGGTGAGCGGTGGTGGTGCCGCCGAACTGGCGGTCAGCGTCCGTGGTCCCCAAGGCGAACTGCCCGTCCGCGTCACTGGCGACATCCATGCCGGCTTCACGGCCGAGTTTACGCCCAGCAACGTTGGCAGTCACTCCATCAACGTGGAGTACAATGGCTTTGCGGTGCAGGGCACACCATTTATGGCCAAATCGTACGATGCCAGCAAAGTGGTCGTTGGCAGCGTCTCCCGTGGCACAATGGGTCGCCCCGTGCAGTTCACGGTGGATGCGGGCGATGCCGGCGAGGGCAATCTAGAGATAACCATATCGGCAAAGGGTCAGAATATACCCACGCAGGTGCATCCCCAGGGCAGTGCAAGGTAAATGTATATAATTAGTAAAGACCATATAATTAGGGACACTTTCATTTTAAAGTCTTAAAGTTATATATTTTGTTTGTGTATTTGGTATCTGTTTAGTCAACTTTCTTTGAAGATGTAGATAATAATTAAACCTTACCTTGAATAACTTTTAACACACTTCGTCAACACATAACGCAACTTGTTCCAAATGAAGAAAATATTTTATATTAATATTTGCTTAATATTTTTTCTTGCGTATAGCATAATCGATTCCTAAGCAAATTTAAATTAAAATTGCCTGTGAAATCGTCAGCATACTTGATAGATAAGTATTCAAAATACTAATTTTGAGCTGTCAAATAATCTTAAACTGTCAATAATTATATGGCCAGCAATGTGTTTTACTCAACTGCCAGCAGCTCTGACTCACACTCTCTTACTATTTGTTGTCTTTACAGATTCTCCGTATCGTTTGTGCCGACGGAGTCGTGCGAGCACACAATTAATGTGTCATTTAATAAAATGCCCGTGCCCGGCTGCCCGATCACAGTCAGCATTAGTGGGGGCGTGGCAGGGCCGCAGGTGTCCCTTGGTGGACCCGGGCCGGTGCATCAGACCAATTCTTTTGTTATCAATCACAATGGCGGCCGTTTGGAAGACATTGAGGTCAACGTGGAAGGTATGTAGTTTTGGGCCAAAACACAGTTAACTGGCCCCAAAACGCGCTTTCTCTCTCACTCTGTCTCTCAGTCGCGCTCACACTAACATAGAGTAACAGATAGAGTCTCTATCTCTCCCTTATCGCTATTCGCATTCATCTTGTTTGTGTGTGGTTTGAATTGCATTTTGCATTTGAATTTGGGTTCAAGTTATTCGTAATTGTAAATTAATTGCTCGTTTTCTTAAATGTTAAGTCTGTGTGTGTGTGCGTGTATGTGTACGTGCGAGTATTTGATATTGGCATCAGTTTACACACACACACACTCACACACAGGTATATATATCGCTTTGCACATCTGATTGTATCTTTAGACTAGTTTTATCTGTTATCCGTATCCGCATCGGCACAGTACTTGACAAAAAAAACATACACCGACTTATTTCCCACACACATTTTCACACTTTTCAACACAATATACGGAAATTGTTGTTGAAACTCTCAAGCATGCCTGCACCACTCTGCCCCACACCACCACCATCTCCCACAACCCTTTCAACTGTAACTGCTTTACATAGCACTCTCTCTCTCTCCCTCTGTAAAGTTGATCCGTCTGTTTCACACGCAGGCAACTCTTGACAGTAGCTTGTCGCCCCAGGCTGAACTTGTGTGGCGACCCCAAACCTCTCAGCCCAGTGCCAATGTGTGTGTGTGTGTGTGTGTGTGTATGTTTTAATGTGGTGCTCATTTAGTATATGTAATTATGCGTTATATTTATCATTTTGGGCAATTGGTTTGGTTACATTTTGACGCATTAGCATCTGGGCTTAAGCTTTCCAGATGGCAGCCGGCTTGTTTCAATAGCTGGATTATGTCATGACCGCAAATGTGTAGGCATGTATGTGTATGTATGTGTGTATGTGTGTACGAGTGTATTGTGTGTTTGTACAGACTTTAGAATGTTGAGTAATCGAATCCACTGTAGAAATTGCAACACATTGCGATATAGTAATTACTTTTTAATCGTTTGTATATACAATGTATGTATGTATGTGGTTTTTGTTATCTATGTATGTATGCTCGTATATAGTTGCGTGTTTTATGTTTTGTAATCTTACGCCCTTTAATTATAATAATTTGCTCACTTTTATATCTGTATTATATTTCAGGACGGCGAAATCTTTTGTACTAGACTTTATATAAATATGCATATACTTAACTATCTATATATATATATATACATATGTATATATATATATATGTATATACGTGCCTATAAATAACACTATATATGAGTGCTTTCTGTCTCTATCTCTATTGCTATATATGTGTATATACTAGCTCTTTTTATATACCTACTCTATATGTATATTTCGCCTAACAGTCCGTTGATATTGAAAAAAAAATAATAACCAAACAGCGTGTCCACCAAATGAAGTACTACTGTATCAGCCACGAGTGAAACAACAACAGCAACAACAACAAGCAAAATCAGCACCCACAACAACTACACTAAGCATAAAGTACTCGTTTTTATATACTAATAATGTCCTTGCCCACTCAGGGGCAATTGTTTACTAATTTGTTCAATCGATTTTGATTAATGTCGCCTCGAATTGTGTAACAGGCAGAAGCAAAAGCAAAAGCAATAATAATAATAATAAAAAACAAACACAAATGTTGTACAAACATTATATATGCATATAGGATGATGTGTATTGGTATTGTTTATACCCAGGCAGACAGATTTTCAGCATGTACATAAACTCTCTCTCTCTCTCATTATAGTATATAACTACAGGGACTATATATAACAATAATAATCTGCTAGCTGCTCTGTCTCTCTCTCTATTTCAATAGAAGAGCAGCACATGCAACTTCTCAGTTTACTAACCGTTTCTGGCACGTTCTCGGTACAAACAAATACAAACTTAAAGACTTGACTAATCCCACTGCAAGTTACAATATTACAACACTAAACCAGACACCCCACTAACATCTCCCGTTGGCATTGTTCATATTAAGTTTTGTACTACACAAAAATTCAACTTAATGCCGTTACTAATCAAAGTCAACATTTTTCCAAATTTTTTACAACTTGCGCGTGAACAAATCACCATAAACAAATCACTAACCACACTACACACAACCAAATACAACGACCAAAAATAAAAACATGCTTAAATATATGTGAATTTCAACAAAACAATCAAATGAAACCATTTTAAAACTCGTTTCCGGCCGCGTCGCAATCGAAAAACATAATAATAATACAAAAAAAAAAAAAAAAAAAAAACTTAAAAACTAAATAATACTAAACTAAAAATATATATACATAAAATGCAAAATGTGCACTATGCAAATTGGGGGCACTTCAGGTCCCGCTGGCCAATCAGTGCCCGCCCAGGTCCATCAGTCCGCTGAGGGCGTCTTCAAGGCGGAATTTGTACCCCGCGTCGTCGGCGAGCATCGGGTCAATGTAACTGTAAACGGTTTGCCAACAGCCGGCAGCCCTTATGCGGCCAAGGTAAGTTCACTTCCCGGAAATGTCTGAAACTTAAATATGTTATCTGTCAAAACTCCCTTTTTTTACTTAAGAAATTTAAGATTTTTTTAGATAAATATTATTTTATTTTTAGTCGATAGTATTAAAAAAAATCTAGTATTTTAGAATTAAAAAAAATTCAATTCAATGAAATTCGATGATAAAGTATATATTGTGTCTAGACTTTAAGGGATATGAAAATATCAAGTCAAAATTGAAAATTTTTTTTGGGTAAATTTAAACCAATTTCCAAACGATATTTTGTTAACCTTCGTTGATCTAACATACCTGAAGGAGATGCTCCGATTTCCAGAAATTGGTTTTGTTTTGGATTGGTAGAAAGTTTTAAGTGGGTAGAAAGCTTACGAACTTTTATGGGTCATAGCATGGGCATAGCCAGCTCCTACATCTCAACGCATGGCTAAGCCGACAAATAGGAAATATTCATATAAATCTCTTTTATAATTCACCAATCTTTAGCCCTCAATCAACTAATATCTTATTCATATATTTAGGTCTATGATGTTAGCGCCATCAAGGTGAAGAATGTAAGCAGCGGAACGGTGGGCAAGCCCGTCACTTTCCTGGTGGAGACTTCCCAAGCAGGTCCCGGCAATTTGGAAGTGACGGTGAATGGCGGTCGAGTGCCAACGTCGGCACAGGCTCAGGGTCAACACACGTATGCCATTAGTTTCACACCTCGCGAGGCGGAGAGTCACACGGTGGAGTTGCGTTTTAATAGCCAGGATGTGCCTGGCTCACCATTCACGTGCCGGGTTGCGGCTGCTGCTCGCATACAGTCTCCAGAGACAATGGACAAGGTTAGCGTGGGTCGCCTCTTTGAGTTCATTGTGGAATCGGACACAAAGCCATCTGTTGAGGTGCTCGGTCCGGCCAGACGCAGTGTGCCAGTGAAAATCGATGCACTCGGCTCCACGCTGGGCTACAATATTAAGTTTGAGCCCATGGAAGTGGGTGATCATTCGGTGGAGGTGCGTCTTCCTGGTGGTGGCCACGTGGAGGGAAGTCCCTTCCTGCTGAAGGCCTACTCTGCGGAGAAGGTGATTGTGACGGACATACGACCGGGCGTGGTCAATAAAAGCGTCAGCTTCGGCATCAATGCCTCCCAGGCGGGTGCCGGCAATCTGGAGATCATTGTCGCCGTCAATGGCAAAAATGTGCCTAATTTTGTCCAATCCGAGGGCAATGCCCGCTTCAAAGTGAACTTCAAACCCACCGAGGCGGCTGCTCACTCGCTCTCGGTGCGCTTCAATGGACACCCAGTGCCCGGATCACCTTTCAGTTGCCACATTGCAGCTGCTGCCGCCAGCTCGTTGGGATTGCCACGTGCCCTGGCCATGGGCGAGTGCCTGAAGCAGGCAGCCGTTAAGCTGGACAATACCTTCGAGCTGGAGGGCTTCGATGGTATTGAGCCGCAGATATTTGTCACATCGCCCTCCGGCGACAACGAGCACTGTCAGCTGAGCCAGCACGACGGCGGAAGCTATAGCGCCTCCTTCCGTCCCAGCACAGTGGGTCGTCATCTGATCACCGTGCTGGCCAACGATCAGCACATCAATGGTTCACCCTTTAGTTGCAATGTGTTTGATGTCTCTCGCGTTAGCATTAGTGGATTGGAGCAGCAATATGGACCCGCCACGCTTGGTGTGCCTGTTACGTTTAGTGTAGATGCAGCGGGTGCTGGTGAGGGTACCCTCGAGTTGGTCGTCTCCACGGACAGCAGCACTGTTAAGGCGGAGGTGGTGGCCTGTGCTCGTGGCCTCTACGATGTGACCTTTGTGCCTCAGAGTACGGAGCCCCATTATGTGAATATAACGTTCAATGAGGTTGCTGTAGATGGTAGTCCGTTCCGTGTGGACATTCAACAGCACACACAGCACATTCAAATTGGCAGCTTGGCAGCCATTGATTTTCCAGCTGATGATCAGATCGTGGAGATACTCGGTCCGGATCAAAAGTCTGTTCCGTACACGATTAACAGACAGACAGCGGAGTTCCGCACTCACGTGACTGGAAATTATACGCTGCGTTTTATTGATCGCGAGACAAGACAGCATATTGGGACACGCACACTGTGCGCTTTCGATCCCATGCTGGTCAAGATCACCGAGGTGGGCGAGGCCTTGTGCCATCGACCGGCCAGCATCAGCATCTCGCTCAACGAAGCCGGACAGGGTGATCTGTCGGCGCTGGTGCGTTGCGGAGTCACCGAAGTGCCGCATACCATTCGCGGACCCAGCAAATCCGGTGTCTATGAAATTGTCTATCAGCCGACACGCGTTGCACCACACAAGATAAGCATACTATTCAATGATGTGCCCATATCGCTGAAACCGCTCGAGATCAATGTGCTGCCCGCCAGTGCCGGTAAAGAGATCAGCGTCAGTGGCTTGGGGCTGTATCAGGCACGCGTGGGCAAGACGACCTCTTTTGCCATCGACACCGTCAAGCGGCCAGCGAGGGAGTTTGACGTAGTCGTTTCCGGACCCGGGGGACAGGCGCTTCCCGTGCGCTGCTATCAGACCAAGAATGGGCACCTGCAGGCGGAGTTTAGCATCAACAAGCCAGGACAATGTGTTATCGGTAAGTGCAAATATTAATAATTAATTAATGACATGTGAAGCAAAAGAAAGCATTTCATATTTTCCAATTCCAATTTTCTTTGTTTTTTAATTAAAATTAAAATTATAAATCAAATTCAAATACTGCTAATATGGTTGACTACTTTTGTGAAGAATATTTTCAAAGCCTATTCGAATAAAACAAAAGGCTTATTTTGCTATTTAAATCAATAAAAATATATCTATACAAGTTTAAATTTTACAAATTTTTAACAAGTGCAAGGCAAAAATATTTTGGAATAGTATAGAATTGAATTGCAGAAATGCCTTAAAGTGAATACCATAGGTTAATTCCAAATGATTAACTAATTAACTGTCTTCTAAATTTTGCAGAGGTGCTGCACCAGTCGAAACCGCTGCCGGGCAGCCCCTTCACATGCGAGGCCTTCGACAGCAGCAAGGTTAGCGTGCAGGGCGTCACCAAGGAGCCACTGGCGCTACACAGCTCCAATAGCTTCAGCGTGCGCACGGACAACGCCGGCACCGCTGAGCTGGAAGCATTTGCCATTTCGCCAACAAATCAAAGTTTGCCCGTGCTCATCAGCGAGCAGTCCGAGGGCATCTACAATGTGGAGTTTGTGCCTTCCCAGCCGGGCAACTACAAGCTGACGCTGATGTACGGTGGCGAGACAATACCCAGCTCTCCGCTCAACTTTAGCGCCTCGTCGAGCGGTGTGCGAAATGATGCACGCGCCGCCGGACACGGATTGGAGGTGTGTCATCGCAACAAGGAGGCTTCCTTTGTTGTCTACTGCCCAATTGCGCCCAATGTGCAGATTGAGCGTGTCGATGAGTTTGGCGAACGCATCGAGCCGAAGATCAAGGCACTGGGCAACAACGAGTGGCGCATTTCGTATGTCATCCTATCTGTGGGCACCTATGAGATTCGCGCCAGTTGCCCCAATCGTGGCAGTCTGCCCGGCTCACCTTGGCGCGTCTGTTGCGTCGAGTCCACAAAGGTCACTCCTGTGGGTGGTTGGGGCACGCTGGTGGATCACGATGGCCGGCTGATACTGCCAGCGCGCATTATCTTCGATGTGGAGAACGCCGGACCCGGCAAGCTTGTCTGCAGCATCGATGGCATCGAGATACCCGTCGATAAGCTGGCCGATGGAAAAATGTGCCTCAATATCACCGGTGATAATTTGGCAGCCGGTGAGCATGACCTGGACTTGACCTGGAGCGGGCTGACCATCACTCAGTGCCCGCGTAGCGCATTTGTCACCGGCCAGCAGGCTGCCGATAAGGTTGTGCTAATGGGTCGTGGTCTGGCTGCCGCCCAAGCTGGCGAGGCAGCGCACTTCACCATCGATGCTTCGAATGCACCAGCTGGTAGACCAGAGGTCATTCTGATTACACAAGACAACACAGCATTGCCCGTGAGCCTGGCCCAGCCGCGTCCCAGCGAGAACATTTGGCTGGCCTCGTATACGCCACAGAAATCCATGACGGGCACCTTGACACTGTCGGTCAAGTGGAACGGACGCCTCGTTAAGGGCTGCCCGCTCACAGTCGCCGTTGGCTCCTCCATGGATGCCTCCAAGGTGATTGCGTCCGGCGAGGGTCTGCGCCACGGCATCGTTGGCAAAGACATCAAATCCTGGATAGACACACGACGTGCTGGCCCCGGCGAACTAACTGCCCACTGTGCTGGTGCCCGCAAAGTGGCCTACTGCGAGCTGTATGACCACGGTGATGCCACCTTCACGCTAAACATTAAGCCCCAGGAGCCGGGTCGTCATCTGCTCACCATCAAATACGGTGGACAGAATGTGCCCGGCTCACCATTTGCGCTGAAGGTAGCCGGCGCACCGGACGCTAGTAAGGTGAGTAATGAGGATTTTCAAATTGAAGGAGTAATCTCCCATCCCACTATTATCTTGATCAGCATGAACAGTTAATCCAGATGATTGTCGATATGATTAAATAGAAGAAAGTCTCTTAGTCTTTTACCTATAGATTAATATAAGCATTTAACAATTAGGGTTCCTTCTTTAAATATTGTGTCCTTTCATTCTCCCAATCAGGTTCGTGTCTATGGTCCCGGAATAGAGCACGGAGTTCTGGCGACCTTCCAATCACGCTTCATATGCGACACACGTGGCGCCGGCGCTGGGCAGCTGACAGTGCGAGTGCGCGGACCAAAGGGCGCTTTCCGCGTGGAGATGCAGCGGGAGAGCCAAAAGGATCGCACCATTCTATGCAAGGTAAACGATTTGGAATATATTAAATTTGAAATATGAATAATTTATGTATTTATTTGTCTACTCTCCAGTACGACCCTACGGAGCCGGGTGATTATCGTGTTGAGGTCAAGTGGGCTGGCGAATTTGTGCCTGGCTCACCGTTCCCCGTCATGATCTTCGACACTGAGGAGGAGTTACGAAGGTACTTGCAGGGCATATGAGGCCAAATCAACCATCCCATCATTATCTTCCCCAGTGGCCTAAGCCCGCCCATACGCTATCATTCAGCAACTCCACAGCGTAGTTCAGCCTGTGTGCCGCTCTAGCCGATGGATCAAACTCGTATTGTATATATTATGTGGGATATATACATGGACGTACATATAGCTAACAATGCAGATCGTAAAGGTCGATATATATATATAAATATATATATAGGTTACGAGTACTAACTAGTTTTAGAAGCGAACGAATCGAAACAATTATCAGAAGTCTAGAAAGGCTTCGGCGCTACGATAAATAGCTTTCTGTTCTTATAGTAGTTCTAGAAATAATACCTATAATACCTACGTAATACAATGTTATTATTGCAAAACAATTGACCCAAATGTGTGGCAAAGTATTCGATACAAATACACGACATTTTACAAAATACTACGTAAAAGAAAATATTTAAAAGAAAATATTTAAAAAATATATAATATATGAAATATATATATTCAAAATCGTTTGGTTAAGTATACTGTTCCGACTCCCAATCCTCGGGCAATGGAAACTCGTTAACAAACTCTTTACGAAATTTGCGTAGAAACTTGAGTAGATTTGCTTCCAGAAAGTGTTTTCTTGCATCTGCGAAATCGGAATCTCCAATATTCATTCCTTGGACGCCACAGTGCATGTTCATCAGTGAAATGATTGTGGCATGATTCTTGACCTGCATGTCATTGAAGCGATCATGCATTATATATTCTGTCCAGGGCTGCTCAAAGAAGCTTACAAAATCCGGGATCAAACCCATCTTCCAACGGCCGCGCATATTATTCAACAATGCCTCGTGCTTACCGCAAAAGTGTTCCAAAAAATATGGCGGCTTATTGAGCTGGAAAACGACAAACGGGATTATAATATGACAAAGTATAATAAAATAAGTTTTACCAACCTGACGGCTAACACAAACTATTTCCTCGACTATCCACTTAAGATTCATGCGTATGCGACAGAAGTCACCGCTGTATGTGGTCATAATATAACTGTACTCATTGGATAGCTTGCCCATCAAATAGCGCTTGGGCATTGTTATTTTAATTATCATATGCTCCAGCGGCAGTTGAGCGTGAAATAAGCATGGCTTACTAAATTTCCGCTCAGTGGTAATCGGCTTCTGACCCAGTTCCAGTATGTCAATCAACTTGAAAAACAAAAACAATACTTGTTGGCCTTAAACTTGATAGAGGTCTACACTCACCTTGTGAGCCAGTTCATATTCACTGACATTGGTATACTGATATAATACTTCCCATATAAAGGTGACATGCTTGCCAGCCGCATAAATATGCGGATCATTTGTACAGTACTGCTCATCGACAAGAATCTGTCTATTCTGCATATGAATGTCGCTATAGACAAGCACTATAATAATTCAAATAAGAAACTTTCTAGCCAAAATCATCAATAATAAAATCTCATAAGAACTCACCCCTTTCAATAGGTGCGGTAAGATAATTATCATTAAAATTGATAAAAAGATTACATTTTAAGGAAAATTGTGTGCCATCGGGACAGTGCTTGAAATGAACAGTATCTATGAAATTGATATGTTCATGTAGAGAATACTTAACATAATTGCTGGATTCGTATACTCGGATGCCCAGATCGGAGAGCATTTGAAGGAGTATGGTATCGAGATTCTTATCAATTGTGGGATTATTCAAGTACTCCGGTTCCTGCACAATATGCGGCTGTACATAAACAATATCATGGGCATAGCAATTGTGCCTGAGCAGGAAATCAATGCACTCGTACAGAGCCAAAGCGTAACCATAGATGACAATATGTTTCCTGCTTAATTCGCCTTGGCTAAGCTCTATGAGCTTGTGATATAATATTATCTTGTCCAGCCGCCCATTGATATGTGCATAGTTGTATGGCGTCTGGGAGTCGCTAATTGGGTCACTGTCCAGCGTTGAAAGTCCAAATTTGGTGTCGCACAACAGCAGCAGCTTATCATAGTGGATCTTGCAGTTGTTGTCCAAAACGATACACTTTTCACCACTGCAAGAGCGAGACGTATACGTAATAAATTTAAAATGCATTCTTTACTTGATCACGCACCGATCGATAGATTCCACATTACCAGCCACAAAGTTGATCCAATTGCGCATGTCCAGGCGTTTTGTGGTGTCCATTACAAAGGGACAACTGTGGGCACTGTTCAAATAGCATTCGTTGTTGCTAGTGCAATAGAGGCAGGTGACATTGGGATCATATTCAGCCTCAATCTCACCATAGTTGACAATCACTGTAATATCCACCAAGGGCAGGCAGTTGTTGACACTCACATTTTTGTAGCTATGAAATTAAAAAAACATACATATATATACATATATAATTATATATATAGATAGATTAGCTCCTACTCAGTCGTATTCCAGCCAAATACAATGAGACGTAAAAAAGCCTTGCATATGTCCGAGAAGCCCACAACAACCAAAGGATTTTGATTGCCAAAATATTTGGTTGGAAACAGATTGTGACGGAATAAATAATAGTTATCCTTGACGCAGTTAATCAATGGAATTTTCACAGGCATCGATGATCGTCTGTAGCAAAGTGGGCTCTCTGTGTCGGTGAACCAGTTTCTGATCTTGCGTCGTGGCTCTATTGGCATCATTTTCCTGGACAAATCATTGGACATCTCAACGTCCTAAGTGAAAGTCTTAGTTATGCGGTTAGTGTCAAACTAGGCATTCTTACCCCAATCACTTCGAAGTAGAAGAGCTCGCGAAAACTTGATCTTATGGCCACGGTGCGCAAGATCTCATCCGACCACATGTGAAAGTACGGATGCAGTCTCAGCATTATAATCTCGCCACGATCATAAGTCAAGTAGTCCGCATTGTGGGGCAGCATATACTGTTTGTATACCGCTTCATAGTTCGAGAAAGGGCTACAAAAGCAGAGCAAACAAATATTTTTATATATCCAGGGTACGATTTAAATTAAACTAAATTAAATTATAGTTACATTCATTTAAAGTTTTTATCTCCGACCACAGCACAATAATACGCAATAAAAACATTTTATATTGTGTAAACTCTTCTAAAAATAAAGTCGAGTTCCATACATCTCTTACACTTACCGTAGCGTGACAAATCCCACGATTATTGTGTTCTCCCTCCCCACGGTGCCGCAACGTATAACCCAACACTTGAATTCGGACTTCTGATTATACAGATAATCAGAAATGATTTGCATTAAAATAGGACACTGACTGCCAATTGTTTCGGCAGAAGATCTGTAACAATTGGACTCGCCCGCCATTTTGGCGACATCATCAATATCATCCTTCATCAGTGGAAAAACACAGAGCTCTGTGCTAACGGAACAGCGATGTGCGATAAAGATCTCATCGGATATTTCGCAGCTGGGGCGATGTTTTACGCGCTATAGCAGAGGCTTGTAAAAATTAAATGGAATACTACTTTAAATATCAAACGCACAATAAAAAACTTAAGTAGCGCCCATAAGCTAGCAGAGTACTTAGTGTTAGCTGGTATTGCTATCACACAGTAGTCCTTATCCGGATAGGCGCTAAACATGGCACAGAGATAATAATAGGTATGTTCCAACCTGAGGCTCGGGTGCAGTATGAAATTTTTCATCATAAACGCGTTCGAGGAATTGTTCAGGCAATATTTTTGATTTCTGATTAAACTCTTTCTCGCCAGCAGATCGAAAGTGATGCTCAGAGTTTTCGTTACTTTGTGCAGATAATTGTTTCGATTTTTTAGCTCTGCAAGTATGGAAAGATTATGTTAAAATCAACTTGGAGTTTTTACCTACCATCGGTTATGTATTTGAATTTTGTGAAAATATAATTTTGATGATGGGCATTGTGAATTTTGGTCTTGTCCAACCTGGCAGAGCTGCGCTTGAAAATATTTACTTCTGTGTTGAGATTAAAGTAATGCCGCTGTTCTGCAGTGCTGCCGCAATCCAATAGATATAATTAAATGTCCACTTAATAAATTAAGCTATCCTACTTACAAGACATTAAATTGGATGACGCCATGTGGAGCATCTGGAGTACACGTCACTAGGTTGCCCAAACTCTCCAGGTCAAAGTTTTTAATCAGCATCTCGATATTCACCTCCTCTGTAAGCCACATCATCCCTGTGGTGCCCCCATTTGCAGCTTCGGGGTCCTGCATATTAATAAATGACAAAAGCTTATAGTATGCGGGCTTAAGAAAAATTCAAATTCTGTGGAATTTTAGAAAAGCTTTTATATATAATTGGTTTCTTTCTTAACTTTATGAATAAGCTTGAAAACAATGCAAATTAAATGTTATTACTATGGATTCAATTTTCTACCCAGGGATGATATTGTTGTAAACTATTCTTTCTTTGAAAACTACCTGATGAGTACCCAAACCAGTTTTCTCAACATTTGTGGATTAAATAAAATGTTCTACCGTACATAATGTAGCATAATGTCCTAACTAACCGATTGACTCAGTAAAAAAGAGTTTTATATTTAAAAGCGTGTACCTCTGTGACAATAATTTTATCCTTATCCAGATTACCGACTACTGCGCCCATGAGTACCTCGGCAATGAAATAATCGCCGTGCACCTGACGCATTTCCGGCTCTTCAAAATCAATCATCTCAATAACATCATCGTTATCCTCAGGTCTACATAGTAATAATTTTTACTATTTTAATTATTTTTACACACTAAGTAAAGTTTTACTTACAAGGCCTTGCGAAAGGTTATTTCAGGCATAAATTCGCTGCGCTTAATGATGTTAATTGTTGGCAAATTCCTGCAGCTAAACATATTAAAGGCAATGGGATAATAGATCTTACCATGCTCCTGCAGCATCTCATATTCCTCGGACGAATAGTTGGGTGGTCTGACCACAATTAAGAAGGTTACTTTGTGCTCGCGATAAAACAACTCCATGATAACCAAATTTAATATTTCATCATGGTTCTTAATTTGAATGTAAAAGTTGAAGAATATTGTATTCATCAGTGATATGGGCAAGTCAATGCTGTGAGGCAGTCAATTAAGAGATACCCTCTCGCTTCAAACAATACCCGTCGATTTGCTTACCAAAAGCGAGTTTGCAACCACTGTATCCAGTAATCGTTCGAAAGTACAGGTATATTGGGATATATGCAAAACTCACAATAGGCCTGTAGTTCGTTGGGGTTATCTGGCTGGTAAGCGACAAGGCGATGGGTTTGATACTCATGGAAAAGCTGGGTCAGAGGTGGTTCTTGCTTTTCGCCAAAATATATGGCCGACTCCGATAAAAAGAGACTCTCAATTAGCCCAATATCTTTCATATTGGCCGAGCGTATCTCATATTCTTGACCCATTTTGAAGTATTTGTGAGTTGAAGTTATAGTATATGTATATGTATATATATTTCATTATATGTGGATGTACTTCAGGTAATGAATTGTATTTCAAAAAACTACTCTGTTAACATTGTAAAATGTATATTAAATTTTAGAACTGCCGCAAGTGCCGCTAAATCTATCCATAGTCACATAGTCCTCGGGAAGTGCAAAATCGTGATGAAAGTCTCGCCGATTTTTTCTTATAAATTCAAGCAGATTTTCTTCCAATACCCGTTGATTGACTATGAGCAATTCTTTAAAACAGCGCTTATTCTGTACACAAAGAAAGAATTAAAGTAAAGATGCTTATTTTACTGTACACTTTCTATACAATATCTAATCCTTTTATCATGGGCAAGAGCATTCTGTGATTTTCTACCTGAAAATCATTAAAATCGTCATGCATCAATAGTTCTGTCCACGGCTCCCGAAGAAACCTCATGAGGCACTTAATTTGTCCATTCTGATGACGTGCCTTCAGGTTATTCAACATGGATTCGTGCTTACCGCAAAAGTGCTCAAGATAATCAAAATCTTGATCCTACAATTGGAACTTAAGTGCCAACTACTTGAAAAGTTCAAACATTTTCTAAGAACTTACCTCCTTGGTAACAATCACAATCTCATCTACAATCATCTTGGAGGTGAGTCCAATCCGGCAAAAGGTGTTCTTGTGATAACTGGTCAGAGTATAGCTACTACAGCCAATAATTTTGCTGGCTAAATAGCGACACGGCATCGTCACCTTAAATATGAAGTAGCCGAGGGGCAGTAGGGCCTTAAAGAATGTGGGCTGCGAGTATTTATCCTCAAAGAAGGTGTCAGAAGCATTCAACTTCAGTATATGCATGAGCTGTTAAAAAGGAGTTAGAAAGGAGATAGGTAGATAAATAGAGATAGAAATATCTTACCTTAATGGCCGTTTCCCTTTCGCTTACATACTGATATTGATGATTCAGATAGTCCTTGATTTCGATAAAAGTGCCTGCTGCATAAATGTCTGGATCGTTTGTTTGAAATTCCTTATTAACCAAAATTTTTGAGCCACTAAGCGTAATCTCCGATTCCATTAGCCCTTGCAAAAAGGAATTGTTATTAAATCAATAGTACAAAATTACATTCAGAGACTTACATTCCTTGGTATAAGTGTCCATGTTACCCTCGTCAAATGATATAAATATGTCACAATCACATTTGAACACCTTCTTGCTGCTGAACTTTGTGAAAACAACTTCAAGTATGAAATTGGCCGTACCATGTTGCATCCAATGTGAGAAGATGAGATCCGAATGAGTTTGTATTTTGCAATCATTTAGCATGTCATCTAGTACGTGTTGTATATTCCTATCATAATAGGGATTCTTTAGCTTCTGCTGTTCTTGAGTGCCCACTTTACGATAGGGGATCACAAGAATCACTCGCTCGGGAGCGACACCATGGCTCATTAGAAAGGATATGCACTCATACGTTTGCAAGTTGCCACCATAAATGAGTATGTGATGGTTGCGCGCATGCTTCTCAAGGAGCACCCGAAGCTTATAGAACAGTATAAACTTATCCAGGCGATTGTTGATCTCAACAAAATTAGAGGGCAAGCGACCCGAATGATGTATAACCTGCTCGGTCTTCAGGCAGTGATTTAAATAATTCATTAGCAGCAAAGTATCGTAATAGATCTCGCAGCTCTTATTGATTTTCACATACTTCTTTTCCCTGTCAATGATCTATTAGGATCTATTTTGTCTTCTCTTGCAATTCTCACCTGTTGACGTAGTTGACGCGTCCGATGACAAAATGCACCCAAAGGCGTAAATCTATGCGTACCAAAACATCTCGCACATAACAGCAGCTTTGCTGATGGTGCAGATAACACTCGCCCATATTGTCGCAGTAGGGACATTGAAACATACAATCGTAATCCGCTTCTACTACTCCTGGGGCAGCAATAACGATCACCTGCAGACGTGGCAGGCAGGTGAAATTCTCCGAGTTTACGTGACTGGCGAAGGAATATGTGAAAGTAATGGGTATCAGAGCCCAAGAATTGACAGCTTACTCCTTGCTATTCCAATGGAAGACTAGCTGTCGTAGAAAAGCTTTTGCCACCGGAGTGAATCCAATGATGACCAGTTTATTGGGTTGGCCAAACCATTTGGTTGGATTCAGCTTATGGCGAAAAATAATCAAATCATCATTATAATAATCGTGATCCTCTAAATCACTAAGTCTTTCCCTACTCCTTACTTCGGTGGGTGGGAAATATATTTTCTTCATGGGATTCGGCTCAATGACCATCATCATCGATTTCAAATCGTTGCTGAATAAATATTTCTGTAAATCGAGAAATTAATTTCGGATGACCTTGATATTTTTCTTAAAATGTAGTTTATATGGACTTCAGCTAAAATTATAGGTATATATACTATATTTTTACCACTCGTGCAACTATGAAATAGAAATCGCAATAGTTGGTCTTGGCCGCCAGAATACGAAATATCACATCGCTGCTGTCATTGAAGAGTGGATGCAACTTTAGTGATATAATCTCGGCACGTTGATTATTCAAATGGTTATCGTTTTTGGGGAGATGATAATGAAAATACAACTCGTGATGATTCAAAAATTTTCTCAGAATCACAAACCCAATAGCTGTATTTTCTTTTGCTGATTTATTGGAATCTCCACAGCGTATGGTAAAGACATCGTATTCGCTGCTCTCATTGTCCAGCACTTCGGTGATGATATGTTTTATGACCTGCAATTCGTGATCAATGTTGATGAATGCATCCGCCTTGGGGTTGAAGGAGAAACTTGAAGCCGGCGAGACCGTTTTAACTTCTGAAAACGTATGGCCGCTCATGGCCAGGTTTAGTATCCTGTCAGCATCATCCTTTTCCAAGCGATACATGCTGTGCAAGCAAACAATTAGAAAACTCTAGCTAGCACCAACTGTAATTGAAATCTACCAAATTTCCCCAAAAAAAGTACTTCGATGCGTTATGTAGATTTCATCCAAATTGACTTCCTCGCTGGGACGTTGTGCTACTGGCTATGCAAGAAAAAGCTAAGGACAATTAAAAAAAATTGTTTATAGGTTCTCTTTTTGTGACTTGCCACAAAATATTTGAGTGCCTCCCCGTGACTGCGCAGAGATTCGAGACTCTTCGGTATGGTCATTATGCAATAGTCACGGTCCGGAAACGCTGAATACATGGCAGCGAGACAGTTGAACAAACGCTCCAGAGGAAAGTCCTTGTGCACACATATGCACTTCAAGGAAAACACATTGGAGGCAGCCTGAATGTGATCCTTCTGCGGATTCTTACTGTTCGTATTATAAAATAAAGTAATCCTCTTCATCTGTTCGTTGATATAATAGCTAGCCATGATTAGCTCTAAGAAATGAGTACACTTTTTAATGATAATTCATTTCTTTTTGTTTTGTCACGAAACTTACTCTCGAATATTAAGTCAAACTTCAGATATAAGTCTTCGTGCATATAAAACTTATCCTGACTGGTCGCCACTTTCGTATCGACAATTGTGCCACGATTTGAGCTTACTCGCAACTTGCCCAAGCTGGCCACACTATAGTTAATATAACCAGTAGACAAAAGCCGTTTAGTGGGGGCGGCAAAGGCATTATGGAAACATATTCACACTACCTGGTTCCACTATCATTGAATTGAACACCACCAATAATTGTTATTGCGTCCAGATCATCCATGGCATCTGCTGTGAATAAATATGCCTCAGGTCTGGGCTCAACCGATCTAAAATAATGTGAATAATGAATACAAGTTTATTGCATGCTGGTTTAATGATAGTGTGTAATATATTTTTATTAACAACCACAGAAAATAATTTTTAAAGGACATACTAACGCTCGTTTTGTTTGAATCTTGTTTTTCTTGATTGATTATTGTTAACTAAATAACGCACAGTTTGTCAATATTTAAAAGTATTGAGCACTCACTTAACATTTATAAGCTCCGAATTATATGGCTTCTTCTTATCAAATTTGATAAGATTGCCAAACGTTTCCATCTCGTAGTTTCTCACATAAAAACGTATGTCGACATCAGAATCCAACCAGATGAAGCCCGCAGTATACGACTCCTGAAGCTCGTTCTGCACTTCCGCAACAATCAACACCCTATTCTTGGCATTCTCATCCGTGCGCAATAGTTCATCGGCTATATAGAAGTCGCCCAACTTGTCTCGTATCTCTGGCATCTCGTATTCGTGTATCTCAATGATGTCATCATTATCCTCGGGGCTAAAGTAGTACTGTTGGCAGACACATTTGGGTATAGACTGGACTGAAGAAACTTACAGAGCTTTGCGATATGTGATCTTTGGTAACAATCGAATGCGATCCGTTATATAAACGGATTGCGTATTCGGATTGGAGGTGATGCTAAACTCGCGTGGATAGAAGACCATTGCGTACTTTTTCAAATCGTCAAAACACTCAGCATAATGCTTATTGTCGGGCACAATTGGAGTCTTAACTGTTATCAAATATAAAACACGGCTCTCAACGTAGAACACCTCTTGGAGTAAGGCTAGAAGAGCGTCAGGATGCTCGCAACGGTACAGACAAAAGTTAAAGAACAACGAATTCAGACTGCTTAAGTTCACTGTGATACTGAGAAGAAGCAGGCTCTGTTAATGCGCTCAATATATATTTATATATACATATACATAATACATATGCTCGATCTCACCAATATTTTTTGTGCAGCCACTCGAGCCAGCTGTCGCTGGGCAATGGACCAATTGCAGGATAATTACGAAACTCAGCATAGGCTATTAGAGTGCTGTCCGATGATTCATTAAGCTCAACGACCATGCGATGGGTCTGGTATTGCTTAAAGATCTGCCCCTCCTGGAATTTGGGACGCTTATTGCCAAACCCATAGATTTTATCCGCATTTACTAGCGATGATATCGAATCGACGTCATTTTGAATTGCCCTACGCACTGTGTACCTCAACGACATTTGTGTAAAATTTAATATGTGCGTGTAAATGTAATGTGTATGTGTATATGTTATCAATGTTATGTTTTATTTTGTGTTCTGGTGTGCTTGGATTTATGAATCGTAAATATATAGATTTGGGTTCATTGACTACTGATTGAGTGTAATGCCATCGATTTCATAACACTTAGCCCTCGCATCCTTGCACATTTCTTTGCCGCCCGATTTGTCGTTACTTTCCCAGCGAAAGTAGGGGCACTCTTGCTTCATATGATATTCCGCTTGGCAAAGAAATACCATCATCAGAAATGGTCGACAGGCATTCTTCACAATCGCTTTGAAGCCCGGAGCAAATTTGATCAAATTATACTTGGTAATAGCTAGAAAAAATTATGTTTAATTTATGTCTAACCTATAACGTATGAATTTAATATGTCGTATATGCCACCATCCTTACCATCCTTACGACAGAAGTCAAGTATTTTGATGTGATATTCCTGCTCCTTGGGTCGATCCGCATACAGAGTCTCCGCATCGAGTTTTACCATTTTCATATTGATCGTATCGCTTTTGCCGATGTACTTGCGCTGTTTGTATACGCACTCCACAAAACACTAGAAAACAACATCCACTTAACTTCTACATAATCTATAAGTATCGAATCCTTTTACCCACCGATAAAAACTTGAAGGTCTTGCCCATATCGGCCTCGATTTCAGCTGGCATTTTGTTAGCGTGCATGGAAAGGCACTTTGACAGCCAATCCAGGTCACCAATATACAACTCCGAGCAGCATCCACTGCGCTGTCATTACAGTTATTAATCAGTTATCTATATAGTTTTGGAAGTCAGTGCTGCTCACCTTCTTGCCACACTGCTCCGCAGTCAAACTATTTGCGTTCTGTGCTTCTACCGCGTCATCTTCAGCATCCCGGGCCAGGACGTGAGTGACTATCAAGAGACCCACTAGCAGAGTCAACAGAGCGTAGGAATATTTATACATTGTATTCCTAAATGTAGTCGATTTGAATTTGGGACTCTGCTTTATAAGATGACAAACAATTGCTGGGGGGCACTTAAATCCAATTTGTTTGCTTAATTAAATGCAAACAAAATTAATGACTAATTTTACAGACCCACTTGTGTAATGAATCATATCAAAAACAAAACAATTAGTTTGAAAATATTATATTTCAGTAATGCCTCATTAAGGGGGTGAAAAATCACCTATATAAGAACCAGAAAATTATCATAAGTTAACCCAAAGTCAGCACAAAAATGAATATTATGGTATTGGCATTTCCCATAATATTCGGCTATCTCGTCTGGGTAAGCTTCTGCAAAAGTTGTCAATATATAATACATAATAACTTTTATAGTTCGCCGGCGCTATTCAAATCGACTGCGATAAAACCGATCAAATACACGAGGATCAGATCCACCACTGCTGCAAGCATCCCGATGGACATAATCAGATCATGGCCGACTGCGCCAAAGAGCATGGCTTCAAGTTGCCCAATTCAAATGAACAATCCATGATGGATCTGACTGCTGGACACGCCATTGCCGGCACCTGTTTTGCCAAGTGCGTTTTTGACAAGCTGAACTTCATGAAAGACGATAATCTGGACATGGAAGCTGTGAAGAAGTCCCTACTGGAAAAGCACAGCGATGATCCTGAGTATGTTAACGAAATGATCAGAGCCTTCAATCATTGTCATGGCAAAGGTAAATCCAATAATATATTAGTTTATATTCACATTATATTATTGAATCATGCAACTCATTTCAGTCGAGGAGAATGCAGCGAAATTCATGTCAAATCCCATTTTCAAGCATATGACAAAAGATTTTTGCGAGCCAAAATCTGCTGTGATTATGGCCTGTGTTATAAGACAATTCTTTCACAATTGTCCATCTTTTCGCTGGGCCAAAACCGAGGAATGTGAGAACCTTTTGCAGTTTAGTCGGAATTGTACCGATTCCATAGCCACATTGTGAGAAATTACGAATTTGTGAAATATCAAAGAACTAATAAAATAACCGCTTACAATTTATGCAAATCTCATGCGATGCCTTACAGATTTTTATTTTTATTTTGTCTATGCATTGGTTGATAAAATGATAACGAATTTTTGACCGAAGTATTTACTCAATTTAAGTTTAAGTTCACTTTCTTGGCTATATCGAGTTTATTCTCTTAATGTTTTATAATCCAGGATGTTCTTCGCTTTCATATTCACTTATCTATATATATACTCCTATGTATACTTTTAGTTTTCTGAGTGAGTGTTCTGTTTAACCTTAAATCTTACAAATATAGATATATTGCTTTTTCAGATATTTTCTGGAGATAAATTGATTAAAACTTTAAATTCAATGCCAAATACTGCTCTTCTTCTAGTTTATTGTGATTACATTTGCATTTGCAGGACATTTATAGATATTATTTACATAGTAGTTAGCACATCCTTGCATTTCTTGGCGAAGGCCAATGTTTCCAAACACTCATGAGTAAACGACCAACGACTACTGGGACAATTGTGGTAAAAGCTTTGGATCACACAGGATAGTATAATGCTGGCCTTCGGCTTGCAATACTTGGAGCTGCTGAAGGCCCGCACCGCGTTTGACGATAGAAATTCGGCGGTGGCTTCCTCCCCTGTAGCAAATAATACGGTTTAACGTACACACACACTAGTCGTCATTAGTTGTCAATGCTTACGCTTCGAGTGACATCTCTCGAATGCAATCAACATCTCCGTCTCATATTCGGGATCCTGCTTGTGAAAAGTCCTGTAGTGACTGCGTACAGCCTCCATATCCAGCGAGCCGTTCACCATGAATTTGTAATGCTCAAAAACGCAATCGGCCCAACAACTGCCGCTCATCACCTGATCCACAGTCAAATCCTCAATGGCCTCCTCGTTCCTGGTGAGCAGCTTAAAGTTGGTCTGTTTGGCACACATCTTAGTGACATCGTTGTGTCCATCCGGATGCTTGCAGCAGATATGAATATGATTTTCATGAATCCGTTCCACGTGGCGACAGTGCACACGAATTCCAACTGATTGTTGGCCCTGTGTGTGTTATTAAGAATTGATCATTTCTACCTCTTACCAATAACCATTAATCGCCACGCAGTCGCTCAGTCAGTCAGTCTGTCAATCTATCAGTCAGGTCAGTCAATCAATGGGAATAATTGACCCACCAGTAGCAGCTGGATAAGAATCGTGAAACCAATCACAATCAAAACCTTCATGACGACGACTATCTCATGAAGTGAAACCGCCGCCCATTTTATATATGACAAAGTTTAGACCTGGTCATAACGCAAATGAATTTTAACGCATTATAATGGGCTTTAAATGGGCAGACCTTAATTTAATTTAATGTTGCTTCAAATGGTTGGCCAAGCTTAGCAACCAAAACACAATTGCCAATGTGCATTGCGGGGGTAGGTGAGGGGTAGGTGCTTCAGCCAAGGGGTTGTCATAGCAGCTGGCAAAACGGGTTGTTGATGGTTTTATTTTGTATTTGTTGATTTTGCAAGTTGTTCGCTTAATTAGTCGACTACTGGCCTTTGAAATTTGATAAGCGGCTTGCTCCAAGAACCGTTCCAATCAATCGAAACGAATCGAATCGAAAAGCACTTAAAAATGGGCAATAAGGGTAAGGGCAAAGGCAATAAGCTGGTCAAAATGTCGGAGGAGGAACGTGCCCGATATTTGCAGATGCGTGCCGACATGGAGGAGGAAACGAGGCGGCGCAAAACTCATTGCGCTCTACATGAAGGTATACAGGCCAAATAGATACCCTAACAATTGCACTCTAATGCCGGCTACATTTCAATTCACAGAACAAACTGAAGCGAGAGGATGCCTTTTGCCGCTTAAACATGGCCAAGATCAATCAGGAATGGCGCTCGATATTGCGTCAGGTGAAGATACAGGATTTGCGTAGTGAAATAGTCGATGTGGAGCTGTTCTTCAAGGAGGCGCTGAAGCGCAAGGATCAGGTCATACAGCGTCTCATTAGCGACATTAATTCCACAGAGGAAATGTACGCAAATCTGCAGCAATCACACATGGAGAACATTGATAGAATCATTGGTGAGCTAAACTATGACAATATTTATTCCAATTCGATATTTTATATAAGAAACCACATAAAAACAGGCATTTACCGGAGCCGCGTAGAGTTCTTCCGGTGCATCTATGAGGACGATAAGCAGGCGGTGCTCAGGGAATGGGAAAAGGATTCAAATATATTTAGGAGCATGCAGTCGGAGCAACAGCAGCAACTCGAATGCGTTTTCTATCAGCTGGAGGAGACTAAGGATAAGCAGGTCAAGGACAATCATGAGCGTTATCTCGATCGTGTCGAGGATATGAAGAGAGGCGTAAGTTACTGATTATTATTGATAGTTAATTGAAGAGCACATTGCCATTCTCCTCCCAATCGTCACACTGCGCCTTGGCATATTCAGACATGCATTTGATTAGCTCCCTGGCCTAGGCGCTGTAATGGTCAGTATGCAACTTAAGAAAATATAGAGTTGGAGCGCTAATCGATTGCGATAAATTTGTTGCCTACGCTGACGGACGGAAGTAAACAAAGCAGTGCAAAAAGCTGAGCTTAGAAAAGAGCTTTTACGCAAATGGAGCATGGTCAACACTGCTAGCGATAGATCTCTTAAGAGAGCTTTTATAATGCAGCCAACTTTGTTGTCTCCACTTGCACTTTACATCGGCGGCTTTAGCGACCACCAAAACAGGGTATAAATGCGAGCTGATCCGTGCGACTGCAGAGCCAAGAAAACGTCGGTCGATAATAATTTTTTTGAATCACGTGGCAGCTGTGCACAAAACAATTACATTTTAAAGAAATACCTTCAAAATAAAGCAAAAACCACAAAACTAAAAAAAAATAAAATACAAGCTATACAATTTATGAAGAAAAAAAAACAAGTTAAAATAATTACCAGAAAAAGAAAAACAACACAACAATCTCGAAGAGTGAACATGCCACGCACCATCAGGTGCCCTGCAGGTACGGTCTTAATCTCGCAACTCTGGAAGCGGAGAGGCACCGCCGCGCAACCACTCTAGAAGCCTACAGAAGGCCTCAGGATAAGCCCAGCTGTCCCCGATCGCTGCTCCGTGCCTATTGGAATAGAGCCCACATTTTTCTCGCAGCCTGGAGTCGGGTATAACCTATCTGTAGCAGCAGCCAAATTCAGCAAATTAATTCATTAATTAATTAATGTAAATCATAAGTCCAAACCAAAATCATGCTGCAAAAAAAAATATTACGAAAATAAAGGAAAAAAAATACTCACGAGTTTGTATGAAATAAGGGCATAATATTTAGAAACAAATACACATATAATTAGATGTAATAAGTATATATAAATATATATTAAGAAAAGAAGAAGTATGGTGATATGTTCATAGGCCATAGTCTTTTACCTTTTTTGTTCAATTGTAACTATTAACCAAGTCAGAACGGATATTTTACCTAACTTGCTTCAGTAGGGTATAAAAAAACCAATACAACCTACTAAGGAGCTACAGAATCACAGCGGAGGTCGGGACCCCTAGATACCCTAGCTCTTTGGGGAGGAATGGGATGGGTTGCTGTGACCTGTGGCTCTATTACATAATGTTTAAATTATTGTAGAGTCCCTTCTGTACTAAATGGAAGTGCTGGACTTCGAAATGCAAAAAAATATTAAAGGTGAATGTTCTAATATATGCTGGACTATCTAAATAAATGTAGCGGGATCTCATATGGCATTTTGGTTGGCCCCATATACTCGACAATTACTCCATTATTGGTTTTACTGAATACATGCTTAATTTTTATTTGCTCTGATTATTCATTTTGGGGAGCGGTTTCTAATCTTACCCTACTTAAGGCAAAGGTATATATATTTAATTATTTGTAAAAAATTAGCATTAATAATTTAAAAAAATCTATTTTAGAAATTTCAGCTTGTAAATGGTATTTTTATTTTGGTAGAATTAATAATTGGTTTTCCATATTTTTATCCTTCATTTATTTTTATTAATAATTAAATTTTGGTCTTTTATAATTTTAATATGATTTTACCTGCTTTTACAATGTTTGGTCTAGTTTTCTTAATAATTTTATACATTTTTTCTTTTCATTTTATAAAAAATTAAGCTCAATTGAATACGATAGTTGAAGTACAAAAAATTTAAAAATATATTTATATAAGAGAATATTCAATTGTTCTTTGCCGACGGTAATTTTTTTTTTTTTGTATTTTCTTTATTATAATTAGATTTGTTTTATTTCTGGCACCCCTAGGGCTCCCAGAGGCGAAAGCTTCAGGCTTAGCCTGGGATAAGCTGCAGCCTAAATCGGATAAAAGTTCAAGCTGATGTGTGTATGTATATGTATGAAAGTTTAATTATTAGTGCGGATTTGGGTTTTTGTTTTTGTTTTTTTTGGTTATTGCTTAGGGATTCTTATTAATTTTTTTTTTTTATGCTTGAATAAAAATATTTTGGAAAAATTCGGGTGCTTCTCAAATTTATCTTTTAAATTGTTAACTATGTTCTATACGAAAGTACGTTTATTGGCACCGAATTTGACAAAATTTCAGTAAATGTAGATTCTTGACTTACATTTTTCTCCGATCCGGTGAAAGGCCTTCCAACGATGGGTTTATTTCTTGTAGTCGTAGGTTTATATAGATGTATTTTTCTTTGTTTTTCACTGAAACTTAATTAATTATTCAATCACCAAAAAAATGAATAAGGGGGGGAGTTATCTGGTGACTTTAATATGGGATTTTATTAGTCTTGCACTTATACAAAAATACACAGCCGGTCACTTTTATCGATTTCATTTGGAAGTGGCATTTCATTTTATTCTTTAATGGCATTATGGATATTTAATTTTTCTTATTATTTGTAATATATAACATTCTTACAATTAAGCACTTATTTTATATACAATTTTTCTCTTTTTTTGTTGTTGTTGTAATATATTGTTTTGGTAGTCTGTGTTGGTTTGTTTTAATTAATGGATTAATTAATTCGCCGGTTTGGCTACTGCTGCAGATGAGCTGGCTCCATCTCCAGGGGATGAAAAAAATGGGGCTCTCTTCCTAGCGTCATGTAGTAGCGATCGGGGCAGCGGGCTTCTTGATGGCTTCCGGAGGTTTCTGAAGGGGTCCAGCGGCGGTGCCTCTCCGCTTCCAGAGGGCTTAGGTTACGGCCGTCCTGGCCGGGCACGTGATGATACGTGGCACGTTCACAAGATATATATGGGGCGGTTATAATTATTTTTGTTGGTTCATTTTTTTTCACAATTGGTATAACTTTGTTTGTGGTTTTGGTTTTTAAATTGGTGGGTTTTTTTTGTTCTTTCTTGTTTTAGTGTTAAAAGAATTCGGCACTATTTTAATTTATTTTATTTTTGTTCAGCCGTGTTATATAAATTTTCGCCGACCGACGTTTTACTTGCTATTTGCATCCGCACGTTGCAATAATTTTAAAAAGGAGGAGGAGTACTATTCGTCCGTTACAGCGCAGGCGACAAATTTGTCGCAAACGATTAGCGCTGCAACTCTATATTTTTTTAAGTTGCGTGCTGACCATTACACTGTACAACATATAATAAGAAGAAAACAGTTTTTTTGTTAATCATGTGTGTGTTTTTAAAAGCCCTTAACAATATGAATACAATATAAACGTCATTAAAACAATAAGAAAAAAATAAATATGAAATGCCAGGAAACATAATATACTAAAAGCCCTAAAATACCAGGTAAACATAACAAAAATCATTTACAAAAAAAATATCGATTCTACAAAAAGTTGAAATTACATAAATTAATCGAGTCCTTGTTATTTTTAGCAAATCGACTGAATTCATAAACTCAAGCTTATCATAATTAAATCTCGGTCTGCTTATTCTGCTGACGTCTTTGTCGTTGTCGCTCTGATCGCTGCGACTTTGTCGCTGGCGTTTTGATTGTTGTAACTTTGTCGCTGGTGGTGTCAGTTGCCCGCTCTGTGTCCCACGGTGGTCTTCAAGTGGAATGTGCCGACGGGGCGCGTGTCGTATTTTTCCATGCGCCATAGCTGTGATCGTAGGCTCAGCACATTTTTGCCGAAAATATGCTGATGAGGCTCGCGCGTTTTATGACATTTACATGAGTTTATAAGTTTGAGTTATTCGAAATAATAAATGTTAACTCATATAAACAGAAAAAGTAACCAAATTTTAAAGCAATGTGCATAAATAAGCTCAGAACAAAAAAATAATATCGATAAATTTGACACAGGCTGTGTGTATGTATAGTGCAAAAATAATAAAATCTCTGTTTAAAGTCTCCAAAAAATACAAGCTAACTCACATTGACTAATTTTTGTTCATAATTGAATACTGTTCCAACATATGCAAAAGAAATTAATGATTCGCAAACTCTAACGTAAAAATAACCTAAAGAAAAGAGAAACACAAAACCGCACTTATAAATAACCCTTTTATGCATATACATACATACATAAGTTGGCACTTTTATCCGACTTAGGCTGCAACTTATCCAAAGCTACGCTTGAAGCTTTACTCGAGCGGAGCTTTCGGCGTATCCTAAGCTTGGAATGTAGCTTTGATTGACAGAAAGCTTAAAGTCGGTGGCGCATGCGCGATAGATGGCGCAAGCTTTTAGCTTGACTTGTATTTCAATGACAAAATTATGTGCACACTTGAAACTTGAAATTCTTAGAAAAAAAATAAAATTTACAAAAATAATAAAAGAAAATGTATACATAAATTCAATATTTAAACATGGCACACAATAAATAAAGAAAACAACATTAATTATAAACAATGATGATTTTTTATAAAATCAAGCAAATAAATATCTAAATATATTAAAAAAACACTCACCACAAATCAATAGAAAATTGGGGTAAATAAAAATAAAATGATAAATAAAATAATTTATTAATAAATAAAAATATAAGAAAAATAAGATAAACAATTACTTGATCATACAAAAATAACAATAAAAATTTAATAAATAAAATGTCAGGAATCGATTGAGTTATTAAAATTATTAATGTTCATTTGTTAAAAATTTAAATACGTTTTGAAATTGATGTTAACTTTTAAGCTGCCAATTTATATTACCTTTTAAGTATATTAACTTTAGCCAACGCTCCAACATGAAGGATTCGAGCAAATAAAATAAAAAATGTGTACCGTTAAACAAATTATGGAATAAGTATTGTGTATCAGGAGGCCGACCGAAATGATAATAGAATAGAACATTTTTTTTGGGAATCTCAAAACTCGCATTCCGAGATTCATGGTTAGGTGGGTATAGACGGCGAGGTTCGATCACCAGCTCAGATCCCCCTAAATTTTGTAGACAGTCCAGTAGATATCAGAGCCTTCACCTTTAATATTAGTTACTTCTTCCAATTTTTTTTATTTTTGCATTTCGAAGTCAGCACTTCCTATTTGATTCAGAAGGGACTCTATAATAATTAAACATTATGTAATAGAGACATAGGACACAGCAACCCATCGCATTCTCCCGAAAGAGCTAGGGTATCAAAGGGTCCCGACCTCCGCTGTAATTCAGTGTATTTTCTCAAAAAATATATATATTTTAAAGGAATACTGTTTGGTCAAACTAATTTGAATAAAACTGATATTGAATGATCAGCTGTTAATTTGTCAGTTTATCGCTACTTTACATAACTCTGTTAAATCTATTCACTTATGTAAACACTACATTGTAATTTTAGTAAATATCGATAGTTTTCACTATCGAAGAGTCCGAGTTGGAGATTCATGCAAGCCATACGCGCGCTTTTGTGTCGGTCATAAATAAACTTGCTAAATTAAATAGTTTAAACACCGCCCAGATCTGAAGTTTCATGTTTGCATAAAAAAACGCTTTATGCATCGAACATTTTAGCGCCCAACGTGGGGCAGTTTTTAAACAAATTATTAATAAACAATTGGACAATTTCGCATTTCGTAACGTTAACAAATTCCGCTTGCGCGTATATACAAACTAAACAAATTCGCATTGGCTCCCAATTGCTTGGTTGCAACAATTAAAGCATCAAACTTGTCAAAAATGTGAAAATCGTTAACTAGAACCAACACAAAGTTCGTCGCAGCAACAATCACACACATGCACATAACTCAAAGTAACGGTTATTGCATTGTGTCTCTATATTCGTTTTGCTGACTGTCGGCGCCGTTTTCGCTCGTCGTCTACTTTGTTCGCCGTTAGTTTTCGGTCAATTTTCGATCGTCTTCTTTCATAACGTCGCTGCTCTTGTTGCATATTTCGCTACTGCTAAAACGGCCAGTGCGCTGCTCGCAATCGTCGCTTCAGTCGCTGCCTTTAGTGGTTTATCCCCAATTCGTTCTTCGTTCGTTTGTGTAAGAGCTGCAACTGCGATCGATACTGTTGTAGTTCATATACACACATACACACACATACACACAACAATCATTTTCGTCGTTTTTGGCACGTCAAATTCTTTTCGATTTCATTACACATCTGTAAATATGTCGCATTCCTTGGAAGACTACCGACGCCAGCGCGCAAATATCAAAAGGAACATTTCCCGTATTAAAAGCTTGGTCGATGGACAATCTCGAGATTCTTCTAAAAGATCACCAGCGGATCTTCAATGTCGTTTAGGCATTTTGGAATCGTACTTTAAGCAATCGTTGGCTATTCAATCGGAAATAGAAACTCTGGATACAAATGATAATGGGCGCGCTGTGCTGGAAGACAACTATGTACACATCAAGTTGGCAATTAAGAAATTGCTTGGTGAAGACTTAAATAGTACAGTCATTGATGACGCTACAAAACACGTTGCTTACCATCCTCAACTATCACGTCTGCCTTGATTGATATTTACAGAGACAATATCGTCTATTTTTCAGTTGCCTTCAGCTAGTTCATCAAACGTTCGTTACGATTGATAATGCATCGGCATTATTTAGTTCACTTTCGTCCTTGGGCTCTGACATCGATAAATTCTGGATAAATGCGATCAGGAAACTAGAAACAAATGGAATTTATCGCTGGATTATACAACAATCCAGACTTGGGCTCAGTGCGTACAAGTACTGACTCGTCTTTCGCACTTGCTATCGCTGCTTGTGCATTGTGCTCAAGCTCAACTCACAAATTGATGGCTTGCAACGTTTTGATGTCGTCAAACGTCACCGACTGTGTCTTAATTGCTTGTCTAAGGGTCATCAAATGGCCGATTGCCCGTTATCAATCTCAGGTTATTTTAGCAACGGCTATGGTCCTGGTCAGAGATTCAACTGCCACCTACTGACTAGGCCGTGCTCTACTGGACTCGTGTTCGCAGGTGAATTTCGTCACCGATTCGTTTGCTCAGAAGCTTCGTCTAAAAAGAGAGAAACACGATGTGCAAATCAGCAGTATTGGCCATGCACGTACAGACATCACTTCTCTTACAACTACATCATCTCGTTTGTGGCCTTTTGAAGTTTCGTTAGATCTTTGCGTCACCTCGCATATCAGCCGGACATCAACATCGACATTTCAAAATGGAAAATGCCAGAAAATATTGTTCTGGCAGATGAGAAGTTCTACCAGTCTCGACACATCGACATGCTTTTAGGAACAGAAGCATTCTTCGAGATTCTGTTAAACTTGGCACAACTGGGCCCATGCTCCAAAAGACGCTGTTTGGATGGGTAGCGTCAGGAAAGAGTCATCCGCAACAGTCTCGAGAGCTTGCTGCGATCACCTTAAACGCTTATGCGAAATTGAATCAACTGAAACTTCAAGCAACATCAGCAACATTGATATGCAAGTAATCAATTCCGAACAACGTAAATCTACTTTCGTCGCCACAATGGATCGTAACCATGTCCTGGAGAAGCTAGCGAACATCAGCTCATACAATCATTGTGTTCGCACTGTCGCTTACATGCGTAAATTCGAAACAACTTTGTCATCCGAGGAACAAGGCAATGCATCCCATTGCATAATTTGGAACATCCAGCAATTATCATTCGTCGAAAACATTCGCCAACTGCAAAAAGATCAACCAGTTAGGAGCCATCTAAAGTTTCTCAATCCTTTTCTAGATCGCTCCACAGAATTTTCACTTATCAGAGTTGGCGGCCGGCTAGACAACATTGAGTTTGAGAACTTCGAAAAACATCCGATATTGTTGCCCAGTAAATCACACTTCGTCTAGATCTATGTGCGGCATCTACATCTTCGCAACTGCCATGCTGGACCTAAAGCTTTAGTGGCACTCATTCGATTGGAATATTGGATCGTAAACGAAGACTTGGCACGTCGCATCGTGCGCACCTGCATGGCGTGTGTTCAGTACAAGCCAAAATTGGAAAGGCAGCTTATGGGATCGCTGCCAGTGGAGCGCCTTCGACCGGGACACCCATTTCAACGCTGTGGTATCGACTTCTGTGGGCCAATAAATACGTATGCTCGCATACGAGGAAAGGGTCCCACAAAATCTTACTTGGCCGTATTCATTTGTTTGGCATCCAAGGCGGTGCACATCGAAGTGGTCTCTCAATTATCCACGGAGGCATTCTTAGCTGCACTCAAACGAATGGTTGCTCGGCGAGCGCTGCCCACTGACATCTATTGTGATAATGGAACTAACTTCGTGGGTGCAGCAAGTCAGCTAAAGGTTTTGAAACAATTTTTGTTTGATCAATCTACTCAAGACGCAATATCAGAGTATTGTGCTTCGGATTTCGTGTCGTTTCATTTTATTCCGCCCAGGGCACCCCGCTTTGGCGGACTCTGGGAAGCAGCAGTTAAGAGCGCTAAGGGGCTGCTGCACAAGACGCTATCGAACACTCGCCTAACATTTGAGGAGCTCTGTGCAATCACAACAGAGATCGAAACTGTCCTCAATTCTCGCCGATTGTCACCTATGTCGCCTGATCCCAACGATCTATCAGCAATCACCCCAGGACACTTGTTAGTTGGAAAATCTCTTCGGGCGCTTCCTGAACACACAATAGCAACGCCTCATCTCAACAATTTGGAGCGGTTTGACGTGATAACCGCTGCTAAACAGCAATTTTGGCGTCGTTGGTCATCAGATTATATTTATGAGCTTCGTGCTCGAACCAAATGGACATCATCGTCATCAAATCTCGCTATTGGAACCATGGTCATAATCCATGACGACAATCTTCCACCTCAGCAATGGAAGCTCGGCCGCATCGAATCACTTGTGCCTGGAAGGGATGGTCATGTTCGAGTTGTTCATCTTCGTACAGCCAATGGCATCTGCTGCCAACCATTACACAAATTGGCCATCTTACCGATGGAGGCTTGATGTGTTGAAAGCAGATCCTTTCAAGGTGGCCGGGATGTTTGGTCAAACTAATTTGAATACAACTGATATTGAATGATCAAATGTTAATTTGTCAATTTATTGCTACTTTACCTAACTCTGTTAAATCTTATTCACTTATGTAAGCACTACATTGTAATTTTAGTAAATATCGATAGTTTTCACTATCGAAGAGTCCGAGTTGGAGATTCATGCAAACCAGACGCGCGCTTTTTGTTTCGGTTATAAATAAACTTGCTAAATTAAATAGCTTAAACACCGCCCAGATCTGAAGTTTCATTTTTGCATAAAAAACGCTTCATGCATCGAACAAATACCCTACTGAAAACAGTTCGTTAGAACATCCGTTTCATCCAGACAGCGAAAGCATTGCTGCACCGTATCCATGTAGAAATTTCGCATATCCTTCGTCAGCAAATAGTAGTCAGAAATTATGTTTAATAAATGTGTAATCTATAACGTATGTATTTAATATGTCATATATGCCACCATCCTTACGACAGAAGTCAAACATTTTGATGTGTTATTCCTGCTCCTTGGGTCGATCCACATACAGGGTCTCCGCATCGAGTTTTACCATTTTCATATTGATCGCATTGCTTTTGCCGATGTACTTGCGCTGTTTGTATACGCACTCCACAAACCACTAGAAAACAGCATCCACTTAACTTAAATATATATATATATTTATTTGAATTTGGGACTCTGCTTTATAAATCCAATTTGTTTGCTTAATTAAATGTAAACAAAATTAATGACTAATTTTACAGACCCACTTGTGTAATGAACCATATAAAAAAAAAATCAATTAGTTTGAAAATATTATATTTCAGTAATACCTCATTAAGGGTGAAAAATCACCTATATAAGAACCAGAAAATGATCACAAGTTAACTCAAAGTCAGCACAAAAATGAATATTATGATATCGGCAATTCCCATAATATTCGGCTATCTCGTCTGGGTAAGCTTCAGCAAAAGTTGTCAATATATAATACATAATAACTTTTATAGTTCGCCGGCGCTATTCAAATCGACTGCGATAAAACCGATCAAATACACGAGGATCAGATCCACCACTGCTGCAAGCATCCCGATGGACATAATCAGATCATGGCCGACTGCGCCAAAGAGCATGGCTTCAAGTTGCCTAATTCAAATGAACAATCCATGATGGATCTGACTGCTGGACACGCCATTGCCGGCACCTGTTTTGCCAAGTGCGTTTTTGACAAGCTGAACTTCATGAAAGACGATAATCTGGACATGGAAGCTGTGAAGAAGTCCCTACTGGAAAAGCACAGCGATGATCCTGAGTATGTTAACGAAATGATCAGAGCCTTCAATCATTGTCATGGCAAAGGTAAATCCAATAATATATTAGTTTATATTCACATTATATTAGTGAATCATGCAACTCATTTCAGCCGAGGAGAATGCAGCGAAATTCATGTCAAATTCCATATTCAAGCATATGACAAAAAAATTTTGCGAGCCAAAATCTGCTGTGATTATGGCCTGTGTTATAAGAGAATTCTTTCACAATTGTCCATCTTTTCGCTGGGCCAAAACCGAGGAATGTGAGAACCTTTTGCAGTTTAGTCGGAAATGTACCGATTCCATAGCCACATTGTGAGAAATTACGAATTTGTGAAATATCAAAGAACTAATAAAATAACCGCTTACAATTTATGCAAATCTCATGCGATGCCTTACAGATTTTTATTTTTATTGTTGATAAAATGATAACGAATTTTTGAGCCTAGTATTTACTCAGTTTAAGTTTCTTGGCTACATCGGGTTTATTCTCTTAATGAGTGGCAAATGTTACTCTATTGTATGCAATGTAGCAATCTGGCAACTCTTATTTAGTTTATCTTAAGTTTTGCATTGTTCCTTCGTTCGTATGAACTCAAATACGAATTTCATATTAGCATGTAATACACTCCGTTTTCGACTGACGAATAAGTCGCGTCGTTAGACAAATAAAAACTTTGATTCCTGCAGAATATCGTTATCTGGTTTGTATACGCTGCGATCGGATCTAATAAATCCAACATAATGTTTTATAATCCAGGCTGTTCTCATATATATACTTTTAGTTTTCTGAGTGAGTTTTCTGTTTAACCTTAAATCTTACAAATATAGATATATTGCTTTTTCAGATATTTTCTGGAGATAAATTGATTAAAACTTTAAATTCAAAGCCAAATACTGCTCTTCTTCTAGTTTATTGTGATTACATTTGCATTTGCAGGATATTTATAGATATTATTTACATAGTAGTTAGCACATCCTTGCATTTCTTGGCGAAGGCCAATGTTTCCAAACACTCATCAGTATTCGACCAACGACTACTGGGACAGTTGTGGAAAAAGTTTTTGATCACACAGGATAGTATAATGCTGGCCTTCGGCTTGCAATACTTCGAGCTGCTGAAGGCCCGCACCGCATTTAACGATAGAAATTCGGGGGTGCCTTCCTCCTCTGTAGCAAATAATACGGTTTAACGTACACACATACTAGTCGTCATTAGTTGTCAATGCTTACGCTTCAAGTGACATCTCTCGAATGCAATCAACATCTCTGTCTCATATTCGGGATCCTGCTTGTGAAAAGTCCTGTAGTGACTGCGTACAGCCTCCATATCCAGCGAGCCGTTCACCATGAATTTGTAATGCTCAAAAACGCAATCGGCCCAACAACTGCCGGTCATCACCTGATCCACAGTCAAATCCTCAATGGCCTCCTCGTCCTTGGAGGGCAGCTTAAAGTTGGTCTGCTTGGCACACATCTCAGTCACATTGTTGTGTCCATCAGGATGCTTGCAGCATAAATGAATATGATTCTCATGAATCCGTTCCACGTGGCGACAGTGCACACGTATTCCAACTGATTGTTGGCCCTGTGTGTGTTATTAAGAATTGATCATTTCTACCTCTTACCAATAACCATTAATCGCCACGCAGTCGCTCAGTCAGTCAGTCTGTCAATCTATCAGTCAGGTCAGTCAATCAATGGGAATAATTGACCCACCAGTAGCAGCTGGATAAGAATCGTGAAACCAGTCACAATCAAAACATTCATGACGACGACTATCTCATGAAGTGAAACCGCCGCCCATTTTATATATGACAAAGTTTAGACCTGGTCATAACGCAAATGAATTTTTACGCATTATAATGGGCTTTAAATGGACAGACGTTAATTTAATTTAATGTTGATTCAAATGGTTGGCCAAGCTTAGCAACCAAAACACAATTGCCAATGTGCATTGCGGGGGAGGGGAGGGGTAGGTGCTTCAGACAATGGGTTGTCATACCAGCTGGCAAAACGGGTTGTTGATGGTTTTATGTTGTATTTGATAACTTTGCAAGTTGTTCGCTTAATTAGTCGACTACTGGCCTTTGAAATTTGATAAGCGGCTTGCTCCAAGAACCGTTCCAATCAATCGAAACGAATCGAATCGAATCGAAAAGCACTTAAAGATGGGCAAAAAGGGTAAGGGCAAGGGCAATAAGCTGGCCAAAATGTCGGAGGAGGAACGTGCCCGATATTTGCAGATGCGTGCCGACATGGAGGAGGAAACGAGGCGGCGCAAAATGCAACTCATTGCGCTCTACATGAAGGTATACAGGCAAATAGATACCCTAACAATAGCACTCTAATGCCGGCTACATTTCAATTCACAGAACAAACTGAAGCGAGAGGATGCCTTTTGCCGCTTAAACATGGCCAAGATCAATCAGGAATGGCGCTCGATATTGCGTCAGGTGAAGATACAGGATTTGCGTAGTGAAATCGTTGATGTGGAGCTGTTCTTCAAGGAAGCGCTGAAGCGCAAGGATCAGGTCATACAGCGTCTCATTGGCGACATTAATTCCACGGAGGATATGTACGCAAATCTGCAGCAATCACACATGGAGAACATTGATAGAATCATTGGTGAGCTAAGCTATGACAATATTTATTCCAATTCGATATTTTATATAAGAAACTACATAAAAACAGGCATTCACCGGAGCCGCATAGAGTTCTTCCGGTGCATCTATGAGGACGATAAGCAGGCGGTGCTCAGGGAATGGGAAAAGGATTCAAATATATTTAGGAGCATGCAGTGGGATCAATAGCAGCAGAATGCGTTTTCTCAGCTGGAGGAGACTAAAAATAAGCAGGTCAAGGACAATCATCTCAATCGTGTCGAAGATATGAAGAGTGGCGTAAGTTACTGATTATTATTGATTAATTGAAGAGCACATTGCCATTCTCCTCCCAATCGTCACACTGCGCCTATTCGGTTCTGGTTAGCGGCCTTTCTGCCCCCATTCTTGCTTGCTTGTCAGCCGCCTCGTTTCCCGCTATATCTCTGTGGGCCGGGACCCATCGTAGGGTGAGCCTGTTGTGAGTCCCGAGTAGGTCTAGCTTTGAACGAACTTCATGGACTACCTTCGATGTTATCTTAGTCCCCATTATAGCGTTCAATGCTGCTTGACTATCGGATAGGATGGATATATCCGTTTTCCGATAGTTACACTTTAATATCGTGTTTTGTACATGGGTGCCAAAGTTAAGCCTGCTGTCAAATGTGACTCCCAGGTATTTGACCTCCCTACTCGTTTCTAGTAGGGACCCTGAGAGCCATATTTGTCTCATCCTCTGTAACTTATGTCGTCTGGTAAAGGGGACGATGACTGTTTTCGTAGGGTTTAGGTTGAGTCCAACCTCCATACACCAGTCATACGTTATCCTTAGTCCTGACTGGACTATGCTATGTGATTCTTCAAATTTGCCTCGCGCTATGATAATAATGTCATCGGCATAACCTTGACATTGAATACCACTGTTAGCAAGTCTGTTTAGTAGTTTGTCTACTAATAAACTCCAGAGTAGCGGAGACAACACCCTCCTTGGGGACAGCCTTTGCGACGTGTGGTCACGCGCAGCCTTTCTAGGCTGTCGTTCCACCATGGGGCATCTTTCTCCATGTACTTTTTGCCTACCGGGCAGTCCAGCTCTAGCGGCTCTCTGGGTATACCAGATAACCCGTTGGCTAGGGAGAGCCCTAAGGCCGACTTGTAACCTTCCCAGTTGGTTTTCCTGGGGTTGCGACCTGGTATACTACTATCCGTATTTAATTGTGACTTAAATAGGATAGCTCTGTGATCAGACATTGATTCCTCTTGGGAAACGTGTCAGTCCCTAAGATGAGGTTTTAGGGCACCACTAATCAGGGTGATGTCCAGCACCTCCTCCCTGATGCTAGTTACAAATGTCGGTGTCGATCCGACATTGCCTAATTCTAGATTATATTTAAATATAAAATCCGTTAGGCACTCACCGCTCAAATTGATGTGGATGTGGGGAGGCTCCAGTTGACATGGTGATTGGGGCCTGGAGTTGCTCCTGTCACTGCTGCACGTCATTTCGACGTGAGCTGCTGCTGTATCCAGCAGCTCCTCCGCCAGCTCCTGTGAGGACATAGGGATATCCTCATCTCCCAACATATCTAATTGGCAGAGCGTTCTGTCCGCCAACTCCTCATCTTCTGCGAGGTCCTCCACCGAATCGGTGGGCCGCGCAGTGCAACTGCTCTGAACTGTGGCAGGAGTGTCCTCTGTGGTTGTGGTGTCCACATTGACAGCCACCCTGCCACTTGGCTCAGATTGTGGCTTAGCTCCAGCTCTCCTCTTTAAACCGCTTAGGGGGATGGTCCCGTAGCGGAAGTAGATCTGGTGCCCCTTCTCCACAATGATGTCCTTGGATAGCTCGTCTATCCCGATGAACAGTAGGGCTCCTCAGCCATCGTTCCTCCTGGACATCACCTTCCATGTGTCGGTCTCGATCCTGTTCTGGTTCCTCAGCAGAACCAACAGGGATTCGATCAACCGATCCACACTTCTGGGGCAAAACAGCGTGATGCAGTGGGGAGACGGAATGTTGTCTCCCACTTTGCGTTGAAGGGGCACGCCCCTCCACGATTTTATCCGCGACGCTGCGGTTCTCAGCCAGTCGGCTGAGTCCTCATCGAAGCACTCAATGACCAGGAAACCGACACGGAAATGAATGCCCGCGAATGAGACCGCAACATCCCCACCAGACGCAATGACTTCGTCAATGATGGCCTCTTCCAACACAGATAAGTCTCCGCGACTGAGCATTGCCCGTGGGAAATCCACAGGCAACACGGCCACCTTTACCTTTCTTGCCATATCCGCGTATGACAATCGGGGCTCGGTGGGTGCTGGCAAGCTGGGATTCGTGGCCGCTGCACGCGATGTGCTCGGACGGAGATTCAAGCCTGCTCCCTTTTCGGCCGTCATCTTCGCCGCCCCCGGGCCGTGAGCAGCACCCTTGGCCTCCGGGCACACCCTCTTGGGAGTGGCCACCGGTGGGGTGAGTTCGCTGCTACGCCTCTTGGGAGTGACGCTGGTGCTGTAGCCGCTTCCCTGGGCTCTGTGGCCTTCTTTAGGGCTGCATCAGGAGTGAGTCCTTGCTGGAGGTACCGAAGGTACCACTTGACCTTCGAACCGCAAAGATTTTTCCGGTTCGGGTCATCCAGCCGGGTTGACCCTCGGTGGCAGGAACTCTTCCTTCCTCTTAGGGCGCTGTGCGCCCTGCCTCGCAGCGTTCGTTGCTGGGCGTGGTGGTCGGGGTGGTCCGACCATCACTCTCCCCTGCCTCAAAGCCGGAGTTTGTTGTGCATGCGGCACTCTCCTGTTTGGTGCTGGAGCAGAACGGCGTGGAGGTTGGTCTACCACATGAGAGGGTATTTCCCCGTCTAGGGCTCGACCCTCTAAGTGTCTTGCGACATACTCTGCCGGGAGATCCTGCGGTATTTTTGTGTTTCTAGAATTCTTCATTAATTCCCACGTGCTGCGAAGAAATGAGTGTCCGCCCGGGCAGAGATCCGCATTACCCGGGTAAGGCTAAATTAGAACAGGCGGTCGCCATTTGCCCCATTAGAGACTGCGCTAGTTTTTCTCCGGGCCCCCAGCCAAGCTGACTCTCGGCACGGCTCGGATAACGCCTTAGTCCGGCCCGGAGTGAGATGTGGGGGATAGGATGGGGTAGGTAATTGTGAGGGGAGATAGGGGGTTGTGTGAGGCTATACTTTAAAGGCGGCAATTGACAATATCGCACCCGCTGTTTGTCCGGGACTGCTTATTTACGAGGAATCTCGTATTATTCGCAGCTAACCTCCCCAGGGGGAGGCCATTCGCTATCCGCAACCCGCGACACGCCTGGTGGCCTCAGCTCAGCCCCATCCGAACCATCCCACAAGTTCTTTAGACCAGGCGTTACCTAGGATACTATGGAAGGTTTTTAAGGTCGGTAGCCAGAAAAATTTGATAGGTCTATTTTTTGACCGAATAAACTAAAGAAAGTGTGGACATTGCATTAAATGCGTTTTGGTTTGGTTTCGAACGTGGAACTAAATTCGGTTGGATGTAATTTTGATTCGAGCCTGTATCTATTAAAAAATTCAATGGGTTGCCGTTCCTCATTATGCTCTGAAAATAGGGCAGAGAGGAACTATTTAATGTGAAAAATGAATGTCGGAAGCATCAGCCGTTGTTGGTTGGTTTAGGCTCCTTCTAGTTGGGCAGCTTCGAGATAAGCTTTTTCCTCGTTTTTCGTGTCGTAAGTGTTTGGTTGTTCAACCCCTTCATCTGATGGTTCGGTTGCGATATGCAACTGTCGTTGAATTTTTGGAGGCTGACCGTTAGGTGCGTTGATGAGGTGTTTGCAGGCGAAATTATTGATCCTTGGCTTGTTCATGTAGTTAAAGTTTTTGGTTCTGATGGAGTTATCTATCTCCATTGGTACAGGTTTTGGCTCTGGTTTTGGAAAAAATGGGCGCGGAGGCGCTTGGTATTCCCTGTCTAGGATTGAAAAATTGTTGTAGCCGTGTATATTGGCCACGGAATGGTTGAGAGTATTATTTATGTTGTTGCGTCATCTGATGATTCATATTTGGTTTAGGGGTGTAATATAGTTTTGGATCGAAATTCCTCCATTGTACTAAGTTATTGGTTTGAGGCAATTTATGTAATGGATTATGATTTCTGGGCGGTAAAGGTGATGTTTGTTGTCTTGATTTGGGTAAGAAAGCATTTCTATGTTCTTGGTTCTCCACCAAGTTACACAGATGCAAGGCATAACTCAGGTCCCTTGGCTCTTTGATTGCTAAGAGTCCAGGTAGGTCTCCATTTAAACCTCTCACGAACGTATCTAGGGCTTTACCTCGATAATTATTCTTCAAAGCTCTAATTACCTCTGGTGCGTCTTCTTGTACGCTTATTTAATTAAGGATACGAGATAATTGATTATATACCATCTGGTGGAATTCTGTAACGGACAGACATCCCTGAGTTAAATAAAACATTTGGTATTCGAGAGCTTTTAAGTCTCTTTTGGCAGCGTAGTGTTCTGTAAGGCACTTGGAAATTGCTTTCCTGTTCATAGGAGTGTTATAGGATTCGAGCAATGTATCGGCTTCTCCTATTATCTTGTTTCGAATTGACAAAGTTATTAAATAATATTTGTAGGTTTTTTCTTGACCACTATAAATGGTCATTATTCTTTCTACATTTTTTTTTCGGTCTCCGGAAAAATCTCTAATCAACCGCGTTATTTCGGAACCTTTTCCTGCTCTCCACCCAATCTCGAACTGGTAAATGGGATATCATTAAGATAATCGCTATTTTCGGTATTTATTTTATGCCTTATTGTATCGCCTCCCTGGAGAGATTCTTTTATCAACGACACATTAGTATCTTTCAGGCTTTGGCTTGCATATGCTGCGTTACTTGATTGTGTATTTCTTTGGGAGCTAGTACTGGCTGCTCTCAGCTTCATGTTGGCTAGGGATTCGGACAATTCGTTTGACTGCATTTTGTAATGTTGTCTTTTACGGATGAAGGTAAATTTATATTCGGACCACTTTTAGGAATTTTAAATTTTTTTGTTGATATTATTTATAAAAAATTTATTGGTTATTAAAACTGTTTCCTCTGTCTAAAGTTCTTTTTGTATTTATAGTTTCTCTCTTTTTAATCTTTTTTTGTTTTTTCTTTTTGGCTTGGATTTTACGGAAGTCTTGTTACTTAATTTAAAATTGATTGGTTTC